TATCCTATCTGTCTTATCTATCTTATCATTATCTATCTATCTTATCTATCTTATCGATCTTATCTATCTTATCGATCTTATCGATCTTATCTATCTTATCTATCTTATCTATCTTATCTATCTTATCTATCTTATCTATCTTATCTATCTTATCTATCTTATCTATCTTATCTATCTTATCTATCTTATCTATCTTATCTATCCATCCATCTATCTATCTATCTCTCTCTATCTATCTCTATCTATCTAAATCTAATCTAATCTAATCGTAATCTTAATCTTAATCTTAATCTATTCTAATCTAATCTACTCTAATCTAATCTACTCTAATCTAATCTACTCTAATCTACTCTACTCTAATCTACTCTAATCTAATCTACTCTAATCTACTCTCTAATCTACTCTAATCTACTCTAATCTACTCTAATCTAATCTATCCATCTATCCATCTATCCATCTATCCATCCATCCATCGATCTATCTATCTATCTATCTTTCTATCTATGTATCTATCTATCTATCTATCTATCTCGCTCTCTCTCTCTCTCTCACCAAAAATTGAACAATTGCTTGGTTTGTCTGAAAATGCGGCCTGCCCCAAAATCCATTGGTCAGCCATAAACTTATGCTTGCTGATCATCGATGATCATACTCCCCATTTTATGGCTGGAAAATTTGTGGCCAAATCACCATTTTTAGTGGTTTTTAGTGGGTAAACTATGGGAAATCACCATTTTTAGTGGTTTTTAATGGCTTTCACATGGGTTACAGTATCAGTAACCTATATAGCCATCTGCCAGCCTTGGATCACCGGCTCAACTCAGGCGCAAATCCTTTGTACCTTGGAGAAGTTCAGCAAGCCGCTGGGCTGCAATGCTGTTTTGACTAGGAATTCCTAGCATGGATATATGATAAATATGATTATGTGTGTGTTATATAGCTTTTCATGGATAGATGGGATGGAATTGGATAAAGGGAGATACCTATTTGTAGATATCTATAAGTGGATACATTTCCTTGTCAGATTTCCACAAGACATCTCCAGCCGCATGTATGAGGACAGACATGGCCTACGGCATGCTGAAGTCAGGGGGCCCCAGATGCTGCTGCCCCCTGGACTAGCCTGATCTTGGCCCAGTTGGCTAAGCTAGGCTAAGCTGGGCTAAGCTATGCATAATCCAATGATGTCCGGTTGACTCATTGGACAGGATGGGGGATCCTGTGAATATTGCCCGAGGTGACCTTGATCCATAGAATGTTGAAGCGAAACCATCAAGGGAATCAAGGGGCTGGAAGGCCGGAAGGCTGGAAACAATCTATAGTTAATCTAATTATTAATTAGTTTTTAATCATTATTTGTCCAGAGATGGTCTCGTAGTTTAATGATTTAGGTTGGCATATGGGTTTGTCTGAGAATACTGTACCTTCAAACCCAATTTTGAATCATAATTTTTCCTATCACAATTGTAGTTTTGGGTATGTTTTGGGTATGTTTGGGTATGTTTTGGGGTATCCACCGTTTCCACCAATTTCAGACACAGCCATATTTGTTTAATTAATTAATTTAATTAGTGGTTATATATCCATTATACCCCTGCGAAACGGCACTAAAGCTCCTACCAAATCACCATAAAATCCCATTAACTCACCAGTAAATCACCATGAAGATTCCCATGAAGTTCCTTAAGTTCGACATGTCTTGCGGCTTTGAGGCTCTGCCAGTGCCACGATCCGCCAGACCGTGAGACAGGTGCGCAGCTGGACTCGTTGGGCCTGGATTTGTTCACGTTTTTCAGAGAAGTAGGGATTTTATCCAACAGAAATGGGGTCTTTACAACAAGAAATAGCAGTGATTCAACTACAAGAAATGGGGAGCTGGTGATGGTTCAATGCCACAGTGAACTGGGCCATATCCGGCCGAATCCGGCCCAGGTTTCGAGGCTCTGAAGGAGATCCAGACGGATGGAGCGGCTCGCGGGAGCGAAGGGAGCGAAGGTGGACACTGTGGACACCACGAGTCGGGTGGTGGGGAGTGGTTCCAATACAATATACAATATATTATAGGCATTCTACAAACCGCATATTCTCTGAGGTATGCATTTGAATGAGGTCCTGCGTTGCTGCAATGACTATCCTCACCTGGCCTACAGCCAAGAAGGATATAGATACAAGACTGGCAGTGACCACTAAAAACTCGAATTACCAGAACCAATAAACATGGGGAATTCCAGCTACAAAACGCAGGCCCCCATTTTCAATTTTGTGTGGGGCCCACTTTTTATCCCCGTTTTTCAGACGTTGCCTTGGCGGCCAGGTGAGACGGAAGGGGAGAAGGGCCCACCAGGCGTGGGGTCAGCATGAACCAATATCCTATACCCTGATGCTGCGTTTCATGCGTAGGCAGTAGATAGTCTAAACCTCCAAAACAGTGATTCAGTGATCATTCTGAGTCTGTAGGTTGGTGCACGATTTCTGCTGGGTCTATCTGGAAATAGGGAATGCCTCAAAACTGACATTTTAGCGGGGAAAATGATGATTAAACAATCTAACCATCATTCTTTTTTCTTCTCCTTGAATTTTCAGAAGCCCATTCCACTCCATTCCTCTTCCCTCTATACAGTGATACCTGGTGTGCCACCAAAGACATGTCCAGAGAATGTGCCAGGTACGCTCTGGGCTTCCGTACGCCAAGTGAGTGCATGGGTGGGCAAGGCTCTGACCACCTGACTTCCCCGGACAGTGGTGCAGTGTTGTGTAGGACCTGGTGGTTCCTGGAATCGATAGGTTTTGGATGGTTTTTGGACCAATTTCTGGTCCTGATGGGGGGGATATTTTTCATTCTTGTTCATTGAACTCCGAATTATGTTAAAAAAAACCAAGTTTTTGTCGGTTGGATTCCCCCGATTTTTTGTTGGCAAAACTCTGAATCCCTAATTTTTGCTGGTAAAAAGGCTGCGTTTTTCTGCGTTTTTCTGCGTTGATCCCCCAGGTTTTCCCAGTTCCTCCCGCCACCCAAGCCGTAGGCAGAGGTGGGTCAGCTTCAGGTCCTGGCGCGAGCTTCTCGTATCAAGGGATCACTTTCCAACGTCCCATCTGGAATGATGGTTGCAGGATGGGGGCCCATAGTTAGCTAAGTTGGTTTATAACTATAACAACAATATATAGCAATAATGCATGATAAATCGCCAACGGAGTCCAACAAGGAGATGTAGGAATGCAAGGACTTGATACTTATATTTGTTTAGATGGCTTATAAACCAACTTATAACTGGGTGGCACCATCCTGTAGTGAAGGGAATTATACCAATATTGGTCCAACATTTATGGTTAGTGAATTATTACAATTTAATTTACCCAAATCCCATGATTGAGGTTCATAAGCCTCAATTTGGGGATGGCTCATGGTGTCATCCCCACGTTTTGCTGGTTTCATGCCCATACTCATACTCTCTCAATCTGAAAGGGGACATCATCCCGACGACCAGTTCCTGGGTTTTGAGGTCTACCACCTACTGGAGTACACGGGGAACAAAGCCAAAGTGGCTGCGGCCATCGCCAAAGTGGTGCGCAAGGTACCCATATCTGGGAATGGTTGGGGGGATGAATATGGGGAAGCAGGGATGACTTCGTATGGGCATCGAAAGTGTATGTAAATCTCTTTTCTTGGCCTTTAAGTTCATTGAAACTCACTTTTTTTTGGGGGGTTTGGGGCTTCAGTTTGAGGATTTTGAATTGAGTTTGAATTGTGCTGTGGCACATGTTCCGGAAATCAAGCTATATGACCGAACGTCGCTTATCAAGGCGACTCTGGTTGTGCCAGAAATGGGTTCTTGGTGGTTCTTGGACCGTATTCAGGTGGAGATTTGTGGTTCATGGCCACCGCGTTTCGAACCGATGAACCGATCGCGTCCGCAGCTGTTTTTTTTGGTCTCAAGGGCCACGAATTCAACATGGCGCCCAACGCCATGGAGGCGTGTCGCGAGGCGCTTCTGGGCGGCCTCGAAAAGATCCTGGAGAAACATCACAAGAGATTGGTCTCCCGGAGATCAAAGGGTTTTTTCCCCAGGAAAATCGTCTACAAATGGTTCATGGAATCCACATTTATGTCATCTTTGACCCAAATGGGTAGTTGGTGGATAGATGCCCCAGTTCATGAGAAAGGGAAGTTCACCGATCAGTTGGCCAAGTATCTGGCCCACCAGATGATTACCATGAAATCATGAAATTGCTGTCCTTTGAACATCGGATTCGGTTGAGAAGGTGACTGTTTGTCTGCTTCTCTTGATTTATGAGGAAAGTACATCCACCTGAGATGGAAGGGGAATTTAAGAACACATTTCGGTTTCGACCATTTCGAGTTGTTTTCCGTTGAATTTCCATCCTCCAAAATGACATCGACATCGGAAAATACCATGGAAAATGCCCGATATCCATCGATATCCCAGATATCCTGACATTTTGCATATCATACCCCCTGGTAATTTAACATAGCTATGGAAAATCACAATTTTTAATGGGTAAATCCACTATAAATGGCCATTTTCAATAGCTATTTCCAAATATGTCGTGCTGTAGATCCAAGGTGCTGGATCTACAGCAATGGCTCGAGGAACACCAGGCAGGCGCTGAAGAGGGCACCACGGGCTCCGTTTCGGGCACGACGGGCACTGCGGGCACCAGCAGCTTCGTCTTGTCCAAGCCCCGAGAAAGTGGATGTAGTGACTTGGTGAAAGCTTGGTGAAAGCTTGGTGAAAGTGGTTAAGATAGGCTAAGATAGGTTACCTTCTGATCCTTCTGGTTATGACTAATAGACTAACAGTTCGCCATGGTAGCCAGATGGCCCATAGAAATAGATCGTTTACCATGGTTTACCGTTCTTAAAAATGGGGATTTTCCATGGCGAACTGTTAAATAACCAGATGGTAAGTGCTTCACAATTCGTGGTGAAGTAAACTGGTGGTGAAGTTACTTCAAGAGTGTTCCCATCCAGCTTCAAGAGTGTTCCCATCCAATTCGTGATATGATTATTCATAGAATGTTACTGGAATATGATCTGGATAGATATTCATATGGGAAATTTCATGGAATGTTGGTGAAAACCCTCCGGTCATCAAACAATATCAAACAAGGCTTGCTGGAAGACCCATCATTTTAATATATATATAATTATATATATATATATTTAATGGGGTCTGTATATTGAGGAATTGCACCCATCATGCAAACCATGAGGGGGTCTCACCATCAAACACGGGGGCTCATGATGGTTTATTCCTGCTGGAATGGTGCATTTATAGCCTGTATATTTGTATATGCAGTATATAGATCCAATATTTAGCCAGGGTTTCGTTTCAGGGGATATTCGATTCAATACCAGGGGGAAGGGATTAGGTAATGTTGTAAACGCACTCAGAACGCATTTTTTTGGGGCACGGCTTTTCACACCCTTGAACTGGTAAAGCCTGGTAAAACTTGTAAATGAGGTATGTGGTAGTGTTTGCCACAATCTGTTGAGTTAAAGTTGGGTATGTTTTGTTTTTCTTCGGCTGTTAATTAATGTTTTCAGGTGTAGAAAGTGGATAGTGAAAGCCACCGACCAACCTGGTGGTGACTCGCATCGTGTTTTTTTCACCCCGGCAAGGTGCTGCACTTGGGCAGTGTTCAAAACCCCTGTTGGTTGATGATTAGTTCGGGGATTGTACTATCCAATAGATCGAGGATGAGATCAAAATCCATTAGGGGAATCCTTCTCAACCAACCCGTTTTTCATGGGATGAGGGTAACACAACTCAATCAGGGATAACCATCGTCATGCGGAGTTTTTTCCCGGTTCAAATCGTCGGCATGCTGATCCTGGGATCCTGGCATCCCAATAAAGAGATTCATTTGAGACGTCCTAAGGTTCTAGGTTGAAGGGATTTCACAATCGTCATCCGGGCATCCGGATGGTTTCAAGAAAGGTTGACTTTGGATTCATCGATCGCATTTTCCTTCGGAACGCATGCCTCTTGTATTCGCCTTGTTTAGCAAATTTTAGCAAGTCTCATCCCCTTTTTCCACATCACTTCTGAGTTTGAAGATGATGAAAGATGGATTTTCATGGATTTTTGATGATTGAAGATTGATTTTCTATCATTTCCTGTATGATTTTCTAGATCCCCTATGATTTTCCTATGGCCTATGATTTTCTCATATTTTCCCAGTCAAAAAAAAGGTGCCCCAGATTTTCCGGTGCCCATTGGTGGCGGGCCGGGGCCAGCGAGACGAGGTGATCAAAGCCTAGATAAAAAGAGGCCTGGCCGCTGGCGAAGTATGGCGAAGCGACGAAAAAATGATGGTCATGGTTAGTTACCCTCTGGTAGTTTAACATAGCTATTGAAAATGGCGATTTACAGTGGATTTTCCCATTGAAAATGGTGATTTTCCATAGTTATGTTAAATTACCAGAGGGTATTAGTGGATTTAACCATGATGGTTAATGATGGTTGAAAAATGGTTAGTTAATGTTAGTTAATGATGATATGATGGTTAATGTTGTGATTAATGGTGGTTAATGATGGTTAACTCCGCCAATTAATGATGGTTAATTATGGTTAATGTTGTGATTTTTATAACAAATTAATGGTTAGTAGTTCATGATGGGGCCAGGAGATGGGATATTTTAATGGTTAATGATGGATAGTAATGGTTAGTAGTGGTTAATAGTGGATTTTCATGATAGCTAATGATTGTTAATGATGTTTTTTTTGGTGATGATGACAATGATGTGATGATTGTGCCATGGGACTTCCATCAAGCGATAGTTGCTGTAGGGTAGTGGCCCTTGAGAGCCGGGCTTTCCCCTGACTTTATTGCAACATTACAACTTCCATCAACTTCCCCATTTTAGCCATTGCATAGATGTGGTGCATTGCTGGTTTCCTCTTGGAAATGTTGGATGCACCATCCTCTAAGAGAAGGATCATGAACCGTTCTATGTCCTACCTACGTGCATGGTACTTAATATGATATTATGTTACATGATAGAGGTATTATAATGATAATATCAAGAGGCATTATATGATATTATATGTATATTTATGTTGATAATACTTCTTGATCACAATGCGCAACATCTCCCTCTCTCTCTCTCTCTTAGATTGGATAGATTGAATGATGGATGGCTGGACGGATGGATGGCTGGACGGATGGATGGAGATGTTATAGTCACCAATTTACCACACATCTGGGTACTCGGTCGCCTTAGTGAGGTCATCATCCCAGCAAGTGTCCATCATGTCGCCGAGTCGGGTAACGAATTTGGACAAGTTGGATTATGAGCTGCCTGGGCGCAAGAAACGTTGGGTGAAGACATGGGGAAATCGCCAAGAATAGGATGGAAAAGGGGAATTTAAGCATGCAAAATGGAGGGTTGATGGGGAGATAAGCATGCAATATGGAGGTTAAACCAGTGGAAGATGGAATATCACCAGAACCAGCAAACATGGATGCAGCAAGCTTTGGGCTTTAGTCAACCAAAATTGGGCATTGATCTAGCACATGTGTTTTTCTCTGCTAAATACTTGAGAATAATGGGGAGGTAACGGTGAGTTCGAACTTGTGGTCGTAACGAAGAAACACTGGGATGTGTAAGCATCAAACTTGTTTTTGGCAGGGCTTTATTTTCTTTTTGGGGTATCACCAACCTAAAAAACATCAACTAACACTTGGGTATTTCCTCCATAAACATTTAGATTTCACCAAGAAGAATGGCGATGTGAGCCAAAAACAGTGGGTGAACATGGCGAAAGGTTGACGAACATGGAGGTATGAAATTGAGAACGCGGACAATGGCACAGAGCACATGATTTTATGCAACAACCATGGGGTATAAATACGCTATAAAGATCTATAAAGTATAAACAATCATGACGACCAACGGTTTCATGGGGTATGCAGCCCCTGAAACATGTGAGTTTAGCCAGTCGCAATTGTTTTTTTCTGTTGGTTGAGGATGTTACCCTCTGGTAAACTAACATAACTATGGAAAATCACCATTTTTAATGGGTAAATCCACTATAAATGGCCATTTTCAATAGCTATGTTAAATTACCAGAGGGTAAAGCTCCTCAAAGCTGGGTTGCCTGGTGTGCTCCCCACATTGTGGTTCCATTGTTTCTGTGGCAGTTGCGGAGACCTATGGAACCACCTTCGATTGATGGCCAAAAATCAACAAAACATGCGGGTGTTCTGTAAACTCCAACGTTTCTTGGCACTTTTACCATGTTTTACCATGTTTTACCATGTTTTACCATGTTTTACCATGTTTTACCATGTTTTACCATGTTTTACCTTTCACCAATCAGTGTCACCAAGCCAGTAATTCCTCACCAACGAGCCTACCACTCTGAGGTTGGCTCAAAAGGTCAGCGTGATGCACCGAGAGAGGCATCACTGGGATGAACGGTACAGCCATGGAGGTTTTAAGCGAAAATCATCGAACGAAATGGGGGAGCAAGCCACGTTTGAGTACCGGAGGGTAATGGAGGTGGGATAGATTGGGATGGAGACGGTAAATATGTATTTGGCATATTCCTGCATAGTCTCTATTGGCAGGATGGAATAGTGGGCCAGTGTTATCCCGTATTATGCCATTAGATTTGTCAAATTTCTCCCTGTTGTCCCGATCATTGGCAATTAAGTGCCCTGGAAATTGATAGACATCTTCAAATCTCAAGCTTAGTATTGGCAGCTCCGGCTCCCGTGAATACACTTCGATGGGCCATGGGATTACTATATCTGGTTGGAAACTGGCCTTTTTTCAGCAGTATGCAGCTACTCAGTGGGATTAGTCGAAAATAAATGAACATATCGGCAAATCCACAGAAATTACTGTGATTTTAGGGTTTTACCATCTACCAATTGCAAGCCCGGCGAAAACACGCGTGAACTTCATCGTCCATCGAAGTATTTGGACGTGCATCCCAGCAAGCCTCTTCAGGATGGTCGTTTGATGATGTCTTTGCCCATGATTAAAGCTTTCCTTATTTTCGGCATCACATTTTTAGGTGCTATATGAAAATATATCAAATTATACAAAACCATATTTATATATACACAAAATTATGTACATTTATATGTTACATATAGTGATATATGATATAGGCAGTATGTATATATATATATATATATACGCCGTACAAGTATAAAGTAGATATTTTTTATATAAAACGAGCTATCCACTTAGACTAGGGGCCCATGAAAACCACTCGCAAGTTGTGTCCCGCACCCCCTCGGCCCGGCCCGGCTTCAACGTCACGAGGCAGTCGCGGCTCTCGCTGGAGTCAGGGCCCAGCGCGGGACCCACGCGGTCGCAGGCATCAATGAGGTGCATCGAATGGAGATGGCCATGGAACAGGAGATCCGATTGAAGTGATGATTGGTGATTTTAATGATAAATAATTACCAATAATAAGATGGTTTATCATTATACTCATTATTATTATTATTATAACTATATATTAATCATCTTATTACATAATAGCTATAATTATAATGATTAAGATGATTAATATAATGATAGCATGATAATATGATAAGCAATCATGATATATTAATCACCAATTAATCACATGATGTTAAGTGATATATATATATATAATGCCAACCCCGGATTAATAAACCATGGTTTATTAATTAGGAGGGTATTCTCCCAATAGTCATGATTTGATACTTAAATGGTACCTTCCCAATTAAACAGCCTAGGGGTTTATTAACCCAGGGTTGACATGATAAGTGATATATATATAATGGTGACTTATAATAGAGGTTATTAACATGATGTTATTAACAATCACTATCTTAATATTCATGTAATGTGGGTAAAACAACAATATTCATCAGCAATTACAGTCATGTTACTAATCACCAATCATTAAGTGTTACTTAATAATTCATTATTTAGTATATCTTAATAATCACCTTAACATGATGGTGATCTTAATGTGTGATGGAGAGAGAGAGAGAGAGAGAGAGAGATGGTGATCTTAATATATCTTTATGATCAGTGATTATTAATGGTACTTAATAACCAGTGATTGTTAATGGGTGACCGTTGGTACTTTATATATATATATGCATACATGGGTGGTTATTGGTACTTAACATAGTGATTATTAATGATGCATGGGTGTTTTTTTAATGTTTTTCTCTTAGTGAAGCAATAGGATCCACCATCCCCAATTTTACCACAAGTGGGTGGTATATACCATCAACATTAGGTGGTTCATTGCTTTACGACTAAGATTATGAACTGAATGAACCCCTTATATGTATATATATATAATGCAACCCATCATGGGGATACTGATATGATAACTTCTATGGCAGTGAACCACCTATATCATTGAATTCTTCCCATTTTGGCCTGTCTGATTGTTTTTTTTTTGGGGGGATATTCACAACATGAAGAAAACTACCCACAATTCGGAAATGATGGTAAACCATTTTTTAAAAACGGGTACCATATTTTCAGACAACTTACGTTTGAAATGGCGTACCATCCCTCCAAACTAGCAGCTGGACCCTGAAGAGTCTAAATTTAATATTCCAACCCCATATTTGGCAGGGTCGTCACTCTACTTGGAGAAACGGTATTCTGACTCTGATTTATTGCTAGATATTCATGGATAATCATGGTTCAAAAAAAGTAGCCGGTGGTTCAACCAGCCCAATTGGGGGACTTTGGTATCAACCATAGAGATTTAACGATTTGATAAGGTTGCGACCCCAAAATAAAAAATCCATTAACTTCCCAATTTTACGGGAAATGTGTTGGACAAAACATCCGGCAATATCCGACAATTTCTCATTGTAATTTGTACTTAACAATATAGGGTGTATATATATATATGCAGATATTTGAATGTATATATATATAGAGATAGACTCATAGGCATAGAATAATCTTGAGATACACTATCAATATCATTGTACTTAACAATGATTTGTGTGCCATGTGAGGCGCTTGGCCGTGCCAGAGCCCTGTCGGCCCTGCTGCCGATTTCTGCAGCGCATCATTTCCTGTGGTGCCTTTGAGGTGGCTTTGGAATGGATGGATGGATATATATATATATTGTTATTATAACAATTGTTGTTGTTGTTGTTCTTCTTCTTCTTCTCATTCTTCTTCTTTTTGTTATTTATTACTAGTATCACCATTATGACTACCATTCACATGATGACGATGATGATGATGATGATTAATATTACTACTATTGTGTTTGTTCACATTTTGAGTATGAAATACTACATGTACTAGTTTTATACCCAAGACATGTGCCATATGTTTATCTATTTGCATTTTTCCCCAACAGCGTAAGCTAATGGAATAGCTCCGGTGTGCACTGGTGCTGGTTCAACGAGGTTCCGGAGAAGGTTCCAGAAGGTTCCGGGAGGCTTTGGTGTGGAAAAGGTCAGGTTCAATAAGGTCTCGGAGAAGGTTCCGGAGAAGGTTCCGGGAGGCTTTGGTGCAGGCGCCGGGTCAGGTTCAACAAGGTTCCGGAGAAGGTTCTGGAGAAGGTTCTGGTGAAGGTTCCAGGCTCTGGTGCAGGTGCCAGGTCATGTTCAAGAAGGTTCCGGGAAGGTTCCGGTTCAACGAGGTTCCATAGAAGGTTCTGGAAGGCGTTGGTGGAGAGCGAGGCGAGGTTCAACGAGGTTCCGGAAGGTGCCGGAGAAGCAGGTTCAACGACGTTCCGGAAAAGGTTGCGGAGAAGGTTCCGGAGAAGGCCTTGGCCAGGACAAGGTTCCGGAAGGTGTCAGAGAAGGTTTCGGGAGATGTTGGTGCAAAGCCGGGCCAGGTTCAACGAGGTTATGGAAGGTCTGGAGAAGGTTTCGGAGAAGGTTCCGGAACGCCTTGGTGCAGAGGTGGGCCAGGTTCAAGTAGGTTCCGGTGCGATTCGGGGAGTGTGTTGGCGCAACTTTGAGGTCAATTTCCAGCCAATTTCGGACGAACAATTCTGTGAAAACAAATTACTGCTGCTGTTGGGGATACCACCGAAGCTTATTTAAAATACATTTTGGCCTTCATATATCCGGATTTGTCTTTTTTCTTTTGGTATATTATACATCCATGTATGCCCCAAATGGTAGTTCTTTACCATATATGATCTCCATTACAGTATCCATTGTTAAAACGGAAAATCCTTCTTCGGAAGGCCTTCTTTGCCGTGGTCATCGCCACCAATTCGCTGTTCATCGGCATCACCATCGAATGGGAGGCGCGCGAACGGACCTTCACGCTGCCCTCCAGCCTCTTTGTGGTTCAGATGCTTGGAAAATCATGGGACATTCCGCAGTCAAAATGAAACGGATGTAATGGGATTTAACCGAGAATTTCATGGGTTTTGCCGAGATTTAATGGGATTTAACGGGATTTAATGGGGTTTATATGGGATCTAGTGGGATTGAAACAACTGCGGGAGGAATTGTTGTGGGAATAGACTGGGAATATATGAATGGAAATATGACAACAGTAGACATGCACACACACACACACGCATAGATAGATAGATAGATAGATAGATAGATAGATAGATAGATAGTTAGATAGTTAGATAGTTAGATAGTTAGATAGTTAGATAGATAGATAGATAGATGGATAGATAGATGGATAGATAGATAGATAGATAGATAGACAGATAGATAGATAGATAGATAGATAGATAAGTTAGAAAGTTAGAAAGTTAGATAGTTAGATAGTTAGATAGTTAGATAGATAGATAGATAGATAGATAGATAAGTTAGATAGGTAGATAGTTAGATAGTTAGATAGTTAGATAGATAGATGGATAGATAGATGGATAGATAGATAGATAGATAGATAGACAGATAGATAGATAGATAAGTTAGAAAGTTAGATAGTTAGATAGTTAGATAGATAGATAGATAGATAGATAGAATGATAGAATATGTATAAAGAGAGAATCATATGCATATACCAAACTTGATGTTGGAAAAGCAACGGGATGATGATGGTGGCGGGCCATAATAAAGTTCAGGCAGATTACTGTAATTACAACGGTTACCTACCTCTTCAGTGGGCTTGGAAAGCGCTATACCCCATTGGGACCATGAAGGACTCCAGGTGGAAACTGGCACCAAAAGACCCCCCAGAACAGAGACATTTTGTTGCTTAGGTGGCCCTGGCTGGTATGGTTTAGATTCAACAAGATTCAATAAACCCTTAATAACCCTTTGCAAACAGCCTGTCATTTTTATCAAAAGATGTCGGAATTGCTGCATGTTTGGTTCCCTTCTTTGAGTGCTAATATTAGCCCTTATAAGCACAAAGTAAGGAAACCTGTTGGAAACCCAAAATCTCTTATTCTGGGATTTTGGGGGAAGTGTATTGAAACCAAGCGGCTAACAAGGTTTACGGTTTAATAAGGGACCTGCCTTGTTGAGCAGATTACACCCAGAAAGTCAATTCCATTTTTCTAGCTGCGCAGCAGAATTTTCACATCTGACATGTGTGACTTTGACACTTTCTTTATAAAGCCTTAATAGCTGATTACCTCTGGGTTCACACTGTTCACCCATTTCTTGCATGCGACAAACTGCACATACTCAGGATCTGTTAATCAGGGATTTTGATATAGTCTGTGTTGAGGGGGTCTTTTTGAAGGGCCCGCGCAAGAAAGGTAATGCGCTCATCCTCTAAGCACGAGTCAAACTGCATTCGGCAGGATATCACATCTTGTTTCAGTTCGATTTTCGGTGCATGAAGAGATCAGATCCATTCAGAGACGAATAGCCTTTGGTAAATTAACAAAACTATGGAATGTCACCATTCTAAATAGGTAAATCAACTATACTATAGTAGTGCCAATATTCAATAGCAAACTGTGAGTTTACCAGAGGCTTTCGCATGTGCTCGTCGCCCAGGATCATCTACACCCTGCTGTTTCTTTCGGAGGTGACATCGGTTGGAGAGCCTCCGGGAGCCGTGAGAAACAACAGACTTGATGGGGCCCTCTAATGTCATCAAACATGGCTGAGAAATCTCCATCAAGAATGAACACAGAGAGAGAGAGAGAGGAGAGAGAGAGAGGGAGAGAGATGTGTATATATATATAATATATAATATATATATATACATACGCATCTACCTCTCTCTCTCTCTCTCTACATATATCGGTATACACACACACACACACATATATATATATATACAGTGTGTGTGTATGATTCTATGGGGATTTTCCAGGCCTGGATGGTCCCACAGCGGGGGTATCGGATGACCATAAACCTAATATACCAAGATCCTCAGTCACATCGCCAGGTTGTTATCAAGTTGGCGGTATTTGGACCTCGCCACTTCTTCTGCTCCATCAGTTGGGCTTGGAAGCTCGATGCAGGGCACAGTCTGTAGTGGTTGCATGTCCCAAAACATCGCCCCAGTTATATGCTCAGGGGTTCACACCCCATTCGTTTCATTTCCACATGTATGGATCACGTTCAAACATGAATATTTCAGAGTGAATCTTTCCAACGTGTCCATCATCATCATCATCATCCTCCTCCTCCTCATCATCATCATCATCCTCATCATCATCATCATCATCATCATCATCATCATCAAACAAAGCCAAACCATGCCAAACCCTAGAAATTTCCACAGGAATGCCATCCATCTGACAAGGAACTGGTTCGATTTGGCCATCGTCGTCTCGGCGGTCTTCGAGGTCTTGGTGCCGTGGCGGCAACTGCCGAGATGGGCAGACTGGGCAGCAAATGGGCGAATGTCAAACAACAGGGGGATGCTGACCATTGTTGGTTTGTATATATATATATACATATGTATATATACTCTATATATATATATATTTGCTATATATATATATATTTATGTACATGTATATGCGTATGTATATGTATATGCATATGTATATGTATAGATTTAAGATGATTTAAGTGCATGTTTAATCATTCTTCGATGTTTTTGGTAAGGATGAAGTACATTCGTGTTCACTAGTATTGTTTCTGTACGTTTTAGCATCAGCAGCGTAATGACTTGTAGTAGAAGTAAACTATCGTCAATACTAATCAGATCACAAGCGGAAAAAAGTAGTCCAGAACATACCGCTGTTAAGAATTCCGTCAATGATATACACACACACATATATATAGTATATACTTGTCTTTTCTTCTGGCTATCAATAAATCATAGTCTGTCATTCTTGAAGGGATGGACAGCAGTGGGACAGAGTTCTGTGACGGAAACGCCAATGATGGGCTCCGCAGGCTTCGCTCTGGGAACGTGTTTCACAACTGGCACGGGGCATATGATAGCCCAAGCCCTCGTGGGGTTCCTAAGCCCATTTCTACCTGACGTACCCGGATCAGCCCCGAATCACATCTTGAATCTACACACACACACACACATATATATATATATGTATACACACACACATATATATATATAGATTGTATATGCATGCAATGGTATTCACATACAGGTGCACATTATATAATTCATTACTTGATCACTTAATGAAACAGTCACGGTATTTTTGCCCCTGAGGTGGAGATCATCGCCCACGACCCCCAACTCTCAGCGGGCTCCAGCAGCAATCTGCGGATCCTACGCATCCTGCGGATGACGCGACTCACACGGATCTTCCGCGTGCCACTTGGAGAACCACAAGGGGGAACAAGGGAAATGCTGGGAGACCACCAGTAAAAATGGGAGGATGATGGGATACTTATATTGTAGATATGTAGCTGTGAATCATGTGTGTATATATATATATATCTATATATATATCTATATATATATGTATATACATACACAATGATGTGTACTTGGTGGTTAGTTCACCATTACCCAGCGATTCGGGAGCTGTGATGGGACAAATTGGTTCTTTCTCCACATTCCCAGACTTGGAGAATCCGAGGGCACACGAGGATTTAACCAACGAAAAAACGATGGTAAGTGGCGTCATTGCCATCAATACAGGGCCCTTGACCAACAAACACCGGGGATTTCCGAACGCTTCCCCGTTCGGCCAGATGTCAACAAGGCACCCAAGAACTGTGGTTTCTCAGCAGTTTTTGGGTGACCCATCCCGGTAATCACCCGGTAATCGGTGAATGATAACCATGTGACTTGAGCTGCCCCATGACACCTATGGATTTTTCGCCTATGGATGGCCTGGAACGACCTCAAGGGTCCGGCCTGTGGGACGAGGATCCGAGTGGTGCGTTTCTTTCGTTCCTTACGGACCTTGGTCTTTTCGAAACTTGGACGCCGTGGTGTTTTTGGGGCCGTGCGGTCGGTGTGGCTGGGAGTTGATATGGCCGAATGATGAATGACATGGTGACATGGTGCTAGGTTCCACCACTTTCAAGAAGCAGCAAATCTTTATCTACATTTGTATGTAATGTAGATGAATGTGTGTGTATGCATATATATATATATTTGAAGACAATGTATAATATATATATATATACGTATATATACTGCAAAAAACTTCAGTTCCAATTGTTTTTCTACAGCGGCTTTTCGCCGTTTGTGCACACATATGTATATAAACATATATACATATGGTATATAATATATATATATACATATATGCATATATGTATATATGTATATATTGTGGCCGCTGTGCTATGTGTTCCACACATGCAAGATGAAACATGAAAGGTGTGGAAAGTGGTTTGCAGAAGTTGCAAAAACATGAAGCACGCGATGGGACCTTCTTAAGTTTCTTGAAGTTTTTTTTGCTGGTGCCAGAGTTTGCGAAATTACACATATACATATACGTATCCATATCCAGACGCAGATTGATATACATACAATGTATACATGTACATGTGCATACATAGATGCACACGCATATGTATATATATATATATGTAGCATTACAAAGTTATAATATTTTATCATATATATATATAGCTATATATATATACATATTATACTATATGTAGGGCGTATAAATCTGCAACAGCGATGGAATCTCCAGTCGTTGCGCTGTCGTTGCCAGGATCGTCAACACGCTGAAATCGCTCTTCTGGGCGATGCTTCTCTTGGCGCTGATCATGTGACCTTTCGCGGGCTGAAAGAAATGGTAAATTAACCTTAGGTGGGTGAACTATTGTAATTTACCCAGATGGGATTATGATGGGAAATCTATAGTTAATGATTAATGACTGCTTGGTACACCAACATAACTATGGAAAATTGATGAACATTGCCCATTTACAGATGAAGATCCACGAACTAAATTGTGTTTTTTTAAATGTGCTGCTCGCAAACCAGGGGCGGCACAGATGCCAGAAACAGTTTCGCGGGTCCGTTTTTGATGGCTCTTCAGCTACGGATCCTGATGATCCCATCAGCCGCTTGTGCACATTGCCTGGCACTGCTCTCAGATTCCAAAGGCGAAAGATCGACCACCCAAACCAACATCCTGGCTTCTGAGTCGTTTTGCTTGGCCGCAAAATAACACACCTGCGAATGTCCACCAACAAGTCTTGAATTGGCTGGCGTACATTCAGGAACTGATTTGGTTTTCTCGCTACGGCTCAGCTAGAGCCAACCATCAGCCACGCTAAGTGGCACACTCAGGTGCTGTGTACGTCTCAAATCATCACCTCCTGGCGTATGTTTACAACATGCACTTTGCCTCGGTGGACGCGGGCCGGAAATGGTGCGAAGATGATGCCCAATGGTGGTGCAGCGAGCCGGATGCTTTGGGCCTCCCTGCTCGCTTGTTGCATCACACCTTGCAATGCTGCAGACATGTCATTGATGCAGACATTGAGGGAAAGCTATGTAGATTTCATGTTTACACGTGACAATCCAGTGTACAACCTTGCATGGCTTCTGCTGTTGTTCAGTTTCGCTTGCTTGTGGGATTGGATTTCCAGCGAAAAGTGCAAAACACCAATTGGATCCACAAGGATCCGGAAAAAGCTCAAAAGCAAAATAAAAAAATGGTCAAACCCAAAAAACAAAGAAAACAAGTAATTTGCATTTTACATGCAGTGCAAGCGCAATGTACCTCGCCTTTGCTGCGCGACGTGTGAAAAAAGCGAGATGCAAGAAAGCACGCCTATGTCACCGCAGAAAGACGCAAATGCTCCACCAAAAGCGCCTTGCTTACTGGGCACTGGGGCATACAAACCGCAGAAAAGCTAAAGTGAAACATCACAAAAAGCAAGCTGTCGATGTGTTGCCATCACCATTGTGGTGGCCATGGACGCAGGACAGCCATACTCAAACCAAGACATCACCATGCCAAGAGAACTATATGTTCAGTGCTGATGGTAACAACCAAATTAAACGCATGGGTCACACCACTGGTGACCCACACACGAAGCACAAAAGAGCTCACCCGGATATGAGTTTACCGTGCCTCATAGACTTCCTGGAAAGTGATGCCAACAGTCCTTGTGATATACCATGCAATCTGAGACACCTATGGCAGCAGCAGGATGTGAAGAAAAATGAAAATCAAAGGATCCCCCAACAAAATCGGATCCTTGCCACTGAAATTGCCAACATGACATACGCATGGCGATGTGGCAACCAACATGCAGACAAGACATGCAGCAGTCAGTCCTTTGCCCACCATAGCTCTAACCTGACAAGCCTACGCCAAACCCTGCGAGGAGGAGCTGGAGGTGCCTCTCGCACGAAACGAATCAGAAAAGAACAGCAGTATGGTTGGTGGAACGACACAACCCATTCCAATCAAGCAGATCAGAGCCTTGCTAATGCACTGGCCAATGTTTTACAGAACTGGCAGCCTGGCAACCAAACCAGCCAAACTAACGCATGGCAAAACCGCCAAAAGAGAAGGAAAACGGATCAATCAACCAAACCACAAGGAGGCCTTCGTGAACAGCTGCTTCAGGTACTCCAAAGATCACAGAATGCATCCGATGACGAAGTTGCCCAATCAATCAGTGCACTTCTACAGCCCTTCTTGCAGCCTCCACAGCGAAAAGTCTTTCAAAGTGCTGAGACATATCCGGGTCCAGCTAAAGACAAAGGAAATCGTTGGTCTAAACCTAGACCCACAAAGCAGATCAATCATGCCGTGCCTCCAATCATAGGCCTAGTCAGCAGTGAGTGGACTGCCACTCCAGTACTCTGGTCAGCCACGGACCTCTTGAAAGCAATCAAAGAAGGAATCACGCATCCGACAGATTGAACAAGTTTGGAAAGCTTATGGCCAAGAAGGCTTCTGGACACTGATCCTTACAGGTCAAGCCAAATCGTTGCCGCACGCCACGCCGGCCACAATCAGAACCTTCCGTGCCAAACAACCCATCCGAATCGAGGAGGTCGCACTGCTCTTCCTTGGAGATGCTACCAAAGCAGTTGAGACAAAGCCTATCACAAAGATACCTTCCAGCTCCTTAGCTTCTATTCAAAGAACCACGATCCGTATTGCAGCACCCAGTGACTTCCGTGAACCTTTTCTAGAAACGCCAGACAAACCACGCCTGGTGGTGCAAGAATTGGCACAATGGGTTCCTCAGCTCAAAGCATCAGCTTTGACAGGTGGCAGATGGTCCGAAAAGACTTTCGGATGGAAAACCATTTTGACAGGATTTGTGGATCTTCCCAATAAGGATGCTATGGCCCTGACCCAACACTCAGGCAAGCGAGGAATCTTTGTCAGCGTGCAAGACAGCATTCCAACGCACAAGCCAATTACTTGGATTTCTCGATAAGCTGATGAAAGCAATGCTGATTATCTTACCAGAAGTCTCAAACAAGCCACAGACAGAAAAGCAGGTTTATTTCACACAAAAGGTGATCCGAAACACTGCCTTGGACTTCCAGCCACCTCTGCAGAAATTGCAGAACAAAAAGCCAAACAATATATCGCACGAGGCATCCCGCATCAGTGGTACCAAGAAGAGTTCGAAGATTCCTGGAAAAGCAAGGATGGAAAAATGCCAAAGCCATCCATAAGCAGAGATACCGCCGAGAGCGGCGCTTCGTTGCAATTGCACCAATCCAAGACAAAGAGTGTTACAATTATCAAATCGATGATGGCCCAACTATTACTGTCGTGCTTGCACCAATCAAGCCCAAACCAGCGAGCTATTCCAGGCCAGTGAAGAATACATGGCAAGGTTTTAGCACTTGGGACAATGATCAGCAAGATGAAGACATGACCAAAGACGAAGATGCTTCAAATAAAAAAGCACGGCACCGCAGCCGTAGTCCAATCATCAAAGCAACCGCTTTGGACACTCAGTCTCAGCCTGAGCTCTCTTCCCAGACTCGTACAGCAACTGAAGCCGCTTCAGCAGCCGCTGAAGCCAAATTCCCATGTCATAGCTTTCCAAGCAATCCCACAGAAGCTATGTCGCAAAAGTGGATCAAAAAAGATTTTGAAGGTAATGGAGATTGCATGTACAGAGCTGTGGCAGGCACTCGTGCTTGGGTCAAGGATGGAAGAACCTTAACTCCAGATGAAGCGCGAACAGAAGCTGCAGAGCTCCGTATGGCTGTGGTCCAGCACGCAAGAAAGCATGCAGAGCGACTACCTCCATGGTTCGCACCTGATTCACAAGAAACTCCACAGCAGAGATCGAACCAAGCTTTGCCCACTTCGATTGATGAATGGTGTCAGAACCAATCCATGCAGAAAACTTGGGGAGATGGTCTTGCGGTACATTGCCTGGCTGAGAAATATGGCCTTGCCATTACGATATGGAAAAAAACTGCACAAGGCGAATGGACCAGATATTGTTTTGCGTCTAAATTCACCAATGATGTAGCAGGTCTCAGGCAAAAGGAAAAGCCGATTTCCATCATCCTTGAAGAGGGGCATTACACTGGTTTGTTAACCCCCAAAGAAACTCGTACGCCTAAACCATGGCTGTATAAAACGATTGAAAACAAAAAGACACTTCTTATTGATCTCACAGGGGGGGTTAAGTCAACAAAAACCTTTGCTCCTAGTAAAAAATCAGTCCGCACATGCAATAGCAAAAGTGTCAAAACCTATCGCAGTGCCAGCAGTGTCAAAACCGCAGATGACGCCAGTCTCCGAACGTATAAATCCTCAGAGACGAAACCAAAGTCCACCAAAAAAGCAGCTGCACAGACTCTGGATCCCCAAAAGAAAACTCAAAGCAATCTCAAAGCCGCAGGTTCCACTGCTCGCAGAAATTTTGCTGCCCCGATCCTAGGAAACTGCTGCGTCAAAAAAAAGACCACCCAAAAAAATATTCCTAAGCGCAAGGCCGTACCTTTGGACGTAGCCAGCAGCCGCGCTAGCATGCCAGATACCACTTGCGCAGATACCAAGCCACGCAGACTCTACTGTAAACAGCCAGATCCCAACGGTCCCAAAAACCCGAAGGATCCCAGCGGAAACACAGAAGAACTGCGCTGGGTCTGCCGCTTATGTTCAATGGAAGTCCTCGCCACAAACCGAAGAATGCTGAACTGGCGACGATTGAATCACTTCCGTACTAGGCATCCACACCACACAAAGACAGATTCCGACAAATACATCAAATTTCGATTAGAGCCTATAATTGCTACACATGAAATTCCGGCTGACGCCCGGGACTGGGAATGCCCCTTTTGCAGAAAAGGTTTGCCATCATGTTCCAGCGTTAAGCAGAGACAAATCTCCATTCGCCTTCATTGGAAAACAGATCACCCAAATCAAGACTGTTCCATGAAAGCCGTGCATCAAAAACGGGCAGAAGCTCAAAGAGCAAATCCTGCAGCAGAACCCGGGATCACTGCGGGAAACGGGAAAAAAGCTGCTCGCATGACACAGTTGCACGCTGCTAATCGAGATATGAACCGTAACGATCACCAACTTGTTGCCTTCGAACCGCACTGGCCAACCTGGAAAACATGTTTGGTGGATTCCTCCAATCAAGTCGGACCTTTTTTCGCCTGTCAAAAATGTTGGAGGTTCGGACACTACAGAATCTTTGGAGTCAAATGCAAACCCATGAAGTTTTGCCTGCGATGGAACATATTGGATGACATCAATCAAAAACTGCTTGCTGACACTTGGAACACTACACCTGAAATTGCAAATCAGTATTTTCAAGCTACAGACAGCCAGCCCTCTAATCAAGAATATAGCTTGGCCACTGCCAAAAAAGCACGATTGGTGCAGCAGGGAATCGAGCCCAACCCAGGTCCGAGCCAAAGTCAAAGAAATGCAGAATTCACAATCAGATTCAGCTCGCTGAACACACAAGGGGTACCAGGCGCCTGGAGAGCACTCCGGCATTTCAATGGCCGGAGGGTGCTTATGTTGCAAGACACTCCGTTCACATCAGCCGAATTTGCAGCTTTCCAAAAAACAGCAACAAAAAGAAATTACCGTGTCTACTGGCAGCCGGGTCATGCCCATGAATCCGGCCGAAAGACAGGGGGTATCACAACTTTGGTACCAAAGAACTTGAATCAGCAGCCGGTGCAACACTCCTTTGACTTGCCATCTCATGTATACGTGCATATTGTACACATTCATGGTACCGCAGTTATCAATATTTATGCACCTCCGGGAGAACAAAAGAAGATGGCAGATCTCTTGATGGATGTTTGGATCAGCCACAATCTTGGAGGATACCCCTGGATTGTTGCGGGGGACACGAATGAAACTCAAGATGGTCACATCGCTGCTGCTTTAGAACAGCTGAAGGAACTTGCCTCTCTACGGGAAAAGCCACGCGTTTTGAAGGTAAAACAGAAATTGACTGGTTCTCTACCAGCCGACCTCACAGATGCAGCAACTTGGACGTATGTGATGAATTTAAACTTTCTGATCACAAAATAGTTTCCTTGGAAATGCTCACAAGCGCAAAGCCAGCGCAGCGTTTCCGGTTTTGTCCTCAGCCAAAATGGAACAAACCAAGGTTTTTGCAGATGGATCAATGGCAAGAGCTCTTACAATTGGCTTGGAAGAAGCTTGCCAATGAAACTTGTAAACCGTTGATGCGATTAGATCCCTCTGAAATCAATGTAGACCTGGAATGGACCAACTATATGACTTTGCTGAGCCACACCTATCGTGATGCCACTGTTCTCGCCGAAAGCAAAGCCACTGAACCGGCGCATTTTGCAGAGATTCACCGTGCCTTGAGACAAACTAGAGCAAAGCACGGAAAAGGCATCCAACCTCCGAAGGTGCAGCCCGTTCAGAAAGAAATCAAAACAGCAGGCCATTCGCGTGCGAACATGGCTGACCGCAAATTGGCCAAAAAACTTGCCAGGTTACATGAGTTTAACCGCCTGGCGCGCCTTGCCATACAACATTCTAATGCGCATTTCTTGGCAGACTGTTCGGAAAATCTTCAAATCCTTGCCAAGAAAATTTGCTTCCATGAAGTTTCTCCTAGCACTGCGTTGGGGCAAATGATGAGAACAGCGAATCTTGAAATTACACAACTTCAAGCGGACCGCGTCAGAAATGAACAGGATTCGCAAAGTCAACGCTTGCAGTTTTGGAAGACAAAGATGCAAACTGGAGATGCCAAAACAATCAGCAAATGGTTGCGCGGCAAAGAAAACCCTATGACAAATGCCAACATCAAAAGACAAAGCCAAGTTGCACAAAACAGTGCACAAGCTGCCAAATTCATTTATGATCACTGGCAGGATGTGTGGAATGAAAGCGACAAGCCTACGCCAGAAGCCATTGCTCACACGCTCACAGCCACCTTCCTTTTCAGTGAAAATCCTCAAACATGGAGCCCACCGGATATTGCCACGTTTACGAAAGCCCTCCTTGATGCCAGAGGAGCCGCAGGATGTGACGGTTGGTCCTCCATGGAAACGCAATATATCCCTATTCAAGCAGTGCAACAGCTGTATCGTCTCACAGAAAGATGGTACCGTGCAGCAGCTGTGCCTCGTGCTTTTGAATACGGAAGACAGGTGAACCTCCATAAACCCAGCAAAATCAAAAACTTTCAGCTTGATGCTGCGCATACTCGGCCCATTACAGTTTATTCCATTTTCTGGCGCGCATATGCCAGTGCTTGGATGCGCACACCTGCTTTCCAGCACTTTGCACAAAGCCTACCGGAAGAAATTGCAGGGGTGTACCAACACGAAGGCAGTGAAGAAGCTGCCACAGTCCTCCAGCAGAAGCTCGCTCTAAAACAAGGTGTCCTTGTTTCTTTAGACTACAGCCACTGCTATGACAGAATGAATATACATGCCACCTTTGATTTCCTCGAAAGTATCAGATGGCCGCAGCCTTTGATCCAACAGTTGAGACAGGTGTGGCAAACCAAACGATTGCTTGAATATGACGGACAGGTCCATCCTGAAATTCTGGTCAGCTCAGGCGTCCCGCAGGGTTGTCCGATAGCCCCACTCACCCTTGCCACTTGGATGTCCAGCGGTTCATCTGCAGTGCAGCAGCTCATGCAATCTGAAGCCTCTTACACTGAGGCAGAAGCATCCCAGGCCACAACACGCATCTACATGGATGACCGATCCTGGGTTGATGCTGATTTTGACAGAGCCTTGCAGAGAGCCAACCAATGGCACCGATGGAGTGCCAGTGTAGGCCTTAAGGAAAGCAGGGAAAAAATACAAGCTTGTGCTAAGCCTCAAAGGATACATGACCAACTTCCAATGGCTCAACCGGACTGGAGCATCCCAGACCAGGTCAAAGTCTTAGGGGTCAGTGTCCGACCCAAAATGTGTGCCAACACGGAACTTGAAACAGACCGCCTGAAAGCTGCTCTGAAACGAGCCCAGCTCCTGAGTTGTTTGCCTGTTCCTTATCACCGCAAATTGGAAATTTATAAGATGTTCGTGATCCCGAAAGCGCTGTATGGTTGGATTATCCGCTTCCCAACCAAAGCGGACTCCAACAAAGTCTTCAACAGCCTCTCAAAGATGACGGGATCCAACTATGTTGCAAACCCACTCATTCGATCCACTATCTATGGCGGAGCCTGCCACATGCAGGTTTTGTTAGCAACCAGACTCTTCAAAAGATTATGCAGAATGAGAAGCAGGGGAACGGCCATTTGGACCAATATCCCAGGCACTCCTGCCAAAGCACTCCGTAGCTGGCTCAAAGACTTGGGCTGGCAGGAACAAACACAATGGACATGGAAACGAGATGATATCACTCTTCATGCCCCTCTACACACTGAAGTGACTGCCCAATGTCACCACATCAGAATGTCTTGGCGAGAGACGCTGCTCCGCAAGTGGGCAGGAGGTAAACGCCATGAAGCACAAGAATGGAGGAGATTGACTTCCCCCTTGCAGATGCGTGCTGAAATCCGAAATCTTGACCTTGAAGCTGCTAGGAAAAGCTTTATGAAAAGTGATGCACCTGCCCGTTCTATTATTCTTGGCAGCACGGTTTCCCCGGCCTGGATGGGCCGTAAACTTCGCCGTAAACATGCTGATGGTGATCCTAGATGCCCCTGGTGCAATCAGCTTGGCAATTTTTTGCACATTGCCTGGCACTGCTCTCAGATTCCAAAGGCGAAAGATTGACCACCCAAACCAACATCCTGGCTTCTGAGTCGTTTTGCTTGGCCGCAAAATAACACAACTGCGAATGTCCACCAACAAGTCTTGAATTGGCTGGCGTACATTCAGGAACTGATTTGGTTTTCTCGCTACGGCTCAGCTAGAGCCAGCCATCAGCCACGCTAAGTGGCACACTCAGGTGCTGTGTACGTCTCAAGGGTCACAGCACATACCAAGAAACGGTTTGTGGCAGGTACGTTTTCGGTATCCTCTTCACAGATGTGTCCAACAATCACATCATCGAGGGTGGAACTGCTATTCGGCGAAGAAGCGTTCCGAGCGACGTGGGTGTAGGGAATCAGGGGAATCAGGGGAATCATGCCTCAAATATTGTGCATAGTGATAGATTGAGATCTACTGTAATTAGTAAGATGTGGGGAACCATCCCCATGACAGAACAGAACAAAAAATACTCTTGTGTGCATGCCTCTGAATTCATATATATATATATACACACACACATATATATATATATATTATACAGTAACTTTTCCCCAGATGCTAGGTAGATGATTTCATTTACGTGAGATAGAGATAGCTTGATTGGTAGATCAGTAGATATGAAGCCCTTTACATTTCCAAACAATTACAGCTGTGCTTCCGTGGGCATTCAGCCAGTGCATACCCATGACACCAGACCGTCAAGATCTTGGCCCATAATTGTATGATGTATGGGTTTGTTTAAACATTGGCCATCCCAACATACATAGTTTAAAACAGGATTTTCCGCCCTCAAATGGTATTGTAAAAGGGTTAAATCCGAGAAATGTGAATTAGTTTCAAACGCACCGGCCATTGCTCAAGGGTCCAAAAAACAAAGCCGCAGTGTTTCTGTCGAAGCTTCGCAGGATGACATCGCCAAACTGGAAAGCTATTTTGGGTCTCTGCATGTCGCTTGCCACCACGAAAAGCCTAGATTTGAGTCGGTTAGTTAGGTGACATCAGGTGAACCATTTGGTTTTAGGATTATTTCAATGTGGAATCATTTTCGAATATCCAAGCGCCCATTGCTTGAGGTAGGGCCACTCCATTGCCACCCTCTAAAGACCCAGTGCTACCACGAAGCATCCAATGGGGGAATGAACTCACTGGATTTTGGGGGATACCCATCCAGTTGCCTGGAGGTAATGTATCATCATTACCCTCTGGTAATTTAACATAGCTATTGAAAATGGTGATTTATAGTGGATTTACCCATTAAAAATGGTGATTTTCCATAGTTATGTTAGTTTACCAGAGGGTATCATCCCAAAACATATTCGGGTGCGGCATTCAATGTGGTGGTCTTACACAGATATCTCCAACGTTATGGACAGATTTGGGCAACGCCTCACAGCTTCACCTCCAAAAATGGCGAACATTTGAGGTCAGCCAGGCCATCATTTTGCTGGCCAATTTCGCCAAAATACCACTGGGAACCAATGTTTTTACATATCAAACCTTGGATGACACAACATATTCAACATCAAAGTGGGATGGTTCATCCTTTAACAAAACACTTGAAATGGGAATGGTTGAGATTCTCTGCCTTCACCAAAGGTTTCAATTTGGTGCTCCAAGGAGGTGCCCATTTTTTCTCATGGGGAGAGCCTTGAAAATTCCTCTTGAAACAGCACCTCTCACTGGATTAAGGGTATCCGGGTATCCCATTTTTGGATGAAACGACACAAAGTTTCGTGTAGGTGTTTCCTTGCATGAAACAAATCCAACAAAAGATTGAACAGTGGCAACCTGAACCCCAAAAAACATCAAAAAACACTAGTTGGTGACCACAAATAGCCACCTTAAAACAACAAAAAACTGCCTTTTATAATGCTTCAACCCATTTTGTTGGTGGATAAACATCCAATTTGCTAGACTCGCATGTTTGATGGTTAAATCACTAATTGTGTTTGGTGCTTAGTCCCTACGACATCCTGTCAATTGTTGGTTGCATTCCACTATATTCACACTCCCACATGTTTCCATTATACATTGGTTAATTTGTTCATAGTTAAATCCCCATTCCATCACCTAGAAACCCAAGATGTTTTGAACAATGGTGAAATGCCATGAAATCTTCTGAATTTCCCTATGGCATTTATGGTGAACTCCCTATTCCTCATAGTGAAATCCAAATTTTTCATGGTGAATTCCCGCTGTTTTCATGGTAAAATCAGGGTAAAATCCCTTGAAATCCCCAGGGTCCCCAGGTGTCGGTGCACACGCTCTTCATGTCCATCAGTGGAGGCCTCACCTGGATGGATGCCACGCTGGCACTGGCGCAGATCAGCGCCTCGGTTTGACGAAAAATGGCTTGAAACTCGGATGGGATTTATATGGGATTTATATGGGAGTTATATGGATCAACATGGTGATTTATGACGATTTATATAGGATTTTTAGGGATATAATGGTGATATAGTTACCCTCTGGTAAACCAGCATAGCTAATTATGGAAAATCACCACTTGGAAATACTTTCAATAGTATAAATCAATTGTAAATTATAAATGGGCCATTTTCAATAGCGATGTTAGCTTACTGGAGGATAACACATGGTAATTTACATAGGATTTCTAACCATGAAACATAGGAATGGCACAATGGAGATATCATGGAGATATCATGGGAACACATGGAGGCATAGTGGAGATAGGGGATATATACATGTAGATAGATAGATAGATAGATAGACAGACAGACAGACAGATAGACAGATAGATATGTGTACTTTTATTCTTTTGATAAGTTGATGTTCAAGTGGCACAGATAAACTATGACACTTGGGTACATTAGGGTTGCCAAGTATAGGAACCCCAAAATTCAAAAGAAATGGAACGGTGAACTTTATGACCTTTTCCGAATTGAATTTTGGACCCATTCTATCTTAACTTGGGTATATGGGATTGGTTGAGCAATAAGAAAGAAGGGATTTTAAACAAGCAAAGGGCTTCTAGAACCTTCTAGAAACCATGCGTTTTCTGAACAGCACGGATGGGAATTGAAGCAATGAGAAGGGGGTCGTGGCCGGATTGCTAGCTTCAATCCCAAGGGTCGTGTGAAATGCCTGGCAGAAAATTTAAGGGTGGATCAATTTCATGGGGCAAGCGGCAGTCCATTGGAATCAGGGCTGTTAGCATTCCAAAGGTTTGCATTGAAGATGTTGGATGTTGACAGTCCAAAAATAGGGAAGTACAGACCCTTAGTTTTCGCTGCAACGGCTGGGACTCCGACTCAAAAATGAGAGTCCTTCCATGTTCTTCCCAGTCGCACTCTCGAATTTCATGGGTTTTCAGTTTTGGTATTTTTGGGTTCAACATGATGATGCTTTGAAATGCGATATCCCTAGCTCGAGAGTGCTCAGACCGGAGCCCAGAATTCAGGCTGGATTTGGGTCTATGTATTTTCCTGCTACATTGCTTTCAGCGTTTTCGCTGTCCCGGGCTCAGTCTGGTGTAGCTATCCCAGTCTTCAAATAAGGAGAGGTGACAAAGAACGTCAGAATCTCTTTGAAACAAGCATGGCATGCCGCTCTTCCATGCTATTCCCAGATTCTTGATCAGAAAATCAGCGTAAACTTCACGGCCCATTCGGAAGCCGACCTGGAACTGGAAAGTTCCAGCTCTGCTTCAACAGTGGGCCATGGAGCAGTGGCAAGCGAGCATGATCACCAGGATCACCAGGATCACCATGACAACTATGATCATGTTTCATGCAAAATGGTCATCATGTTTCGCAATTCATGATTTCTCGATTTTCACGTTTCATGTTTTTCATGTTTTTCATGATGTTTCATGATTTTCAGTTTTCAGGATTTTAAGGTTTCATCATGATGATGATGATGATGATGGTGGTGACTCAATGATGATGCGATTTGTAGTCAAAGAAGCACGTTGCCAATGTGCGTTGAAGTCGTCCAAGCGATTGCTGTCCAGCGAGGTTTTAAACGTGATGACTGGAGTGTGTCTCAGCGATGATTTCAACTTTTTATTCAAATTCTTTGCCTGTATTTGCTGTTTTTTTGATGTTTGTTGATTGATCTGGCCCCTTGGATCAGAAATACTATACATTGAGGTATGCATGTATACTTTAGTGTGTACATACATACATACGTACGTACATACATACATAGATACACACATACATACATACATACATGCATACATACATGCATGCATACATACATTACATTAAATTGCATTGCATTACATTACAATACATATTGCAATACATATTTCATTACATTATATTACATTAATTACACTACAGTACATTACTGACATACATGTTTTGCATCCACACATATTTAGAACATCTATGTGTACTTATCTACTATTTATCTACGCACATATTTAGATACAACAATAACAATACGGCTATAAATGTGTTACACACACATGCATGTGCATCATATGTGTATGAATTGAAATATCCGATATTGATATGTAGGTAGTTGTGTTTCTTTACAGATGTTTTTTTCCTCTCCCCTACCGCTTCAGCTTTACAATCTGTCCCTTCTTACTGGGATCACACATCGAAGGATTGGAACTAAAGACTTCTCGCGAAGAAAAAAATGAAAGTTCTGAACCACCTTTTGTTCCAAGATTTGCTAACCCAAAACATTTCCTCATTTTTTTGTATAGCTTCAGTTTCTAGGAGTTGCTTTGTCCGAGGTTTTGCCAGTCGGCCATCAAAGGGGCAGAGAGGGATCAAGAGATGGTGGTGCAATCATTGATCATGGACAAACATCAGCTGAAGACCAGCTTGGGCAAACTCTTCCAAAAAATGGACGATGACCAGTCAGGACTCTGGGGTGCCGAAAAAAGTTGAGGTCCGAAATGGGAGACCAACATGAATAGGATCCAATACTAAGCCATATTTTTTGAATGTCCTTTTTTTTGGGTATCTAATTTTAGGGGGAACGAATCTTCGCCTGTGTGCTTATGGCTATGGTTTCCAGATGGAACAAACATGAAGGTGATGTGGTTTCAGGGCAGTGCTGAACAGGGATTGTGTCGATATCTTTGTCTGCCTTTTTTCGGCAGGAAAGTTGACTTTGGCGCAGTTTGAAAAGCATTTTCAAGACGAAGAGGTCTGGCGATGGCTTTGGGGTTTGCGATTCATGGCATCTATGGGGCTTGAACATCGCACCCCCTCCCCAGATCTCTCACTCTCATTCTGTTCAATACAGAATCCTCTGACCCAATCTGTGAATCGCAACCAAAACTAAGTGTTGGTCACCATTCTAATTCTATATAATCAATTCCACACATGATTTTCCCATCATTTTCCCATCATTTTCCCATCATTTTCCCATCATTTTCCTGTCTTTTCCCATATTTTTCGACAGATCTTCGTTCTATCCCCATCTCCTGGCCGACGCAGGTGCGCGTCTTGTTCGAAGCCTTGGAGATCGGGGCCACAGACGCCTGGAGCTTGTTCCTTTCATTGGACCACAACGAGGACTACCAGCACCTCGATCACCTCGGCCGAATGAATCGTTGGTTTTTGTGTGATATGACTTGATTGACTTGATATGTTTGTTTCTGCTTTGGCATGTTGTCTGATAATTCTTGTTGCACCCCAGTTGCACTAGAAAAAGACTTGGCAGATGACAGCAGCGAGGACTGAACATGACAAAACTATGGTGTTTTTCTCTCTGTTTAAGTCTTGATGAGGCTTAGACATGCTTAGACTACCATCAGAAGCTCCATAAAAAGCATCCACTGTGCCAACTCAGGATTGAACCTGCGGAGTTCTTAGAAGGCTGCGCCTCGTCTTTGGTGAAGCCTTCAGCGTTCAGAGAGATTTATGGTGGAGCGTTCGTACGGTGCGTTCAAATATCTTCGGCTAAATGTCACAGCATGAAAAAAGCAAGACATATAGACAGACATAGTAGATACTGTAGATAGATAGATAGATAGATAGATAGATTAGATTAGATTAGATTAGATTAGATTAGATTAGATAGATAGATAGATAGATAGATAGATAGATAGATAGATAGATAGATAGTCGGAAGACGTCCTCGATGTAAAAATCGTAGATTCTGAGGGTCAAACCGTGAGTTTTGGGGATGGGATGTCTACATGATGGGACCCCACACGTTGGGGTTACCACTTTTACTCATGGGTTAGATCCTTGCTTTAATTCATGCTGACAAAGCCCATTTGGCATTATAATGACCTCACGTTGTGACGTCACCTGATGGGCATCGGATTCGGGGAATCATCCCCAAACGGCCCAACATTTCAACTCTTTTCAGGTTAGTGAATTATCGGGAATTATTATTCTTCAGCCAGGTAGTACACTTCAATGAAATGTTCGATGACTTCTCTGTTTGATGTTATAATGAAATGGGTATGGATCAATACCTATTAATACCATTTTTAGTGGGATGAACATCCATCTACCAGCTATTTTGATGTTCACCAGGGGGATAGGGTTTTGACCCATCCCCAAATGGGGTTGTCCTTTTAAATGCTCTTTTTTAATCTTGTAAATCAATGTCTCCCGGGCGCCAGATCCACATTTCGTCGTCGTTTTGAGGTCTACAACTGCGAGGCTCAGCGAAAGCCATTGACCTCTTCATGTTGCGGCGGCAGGTGGCAAAGATCATGATGCATTTGTAGCTGGGATGGATGGTGCAACCATGAAACATCGGATTTACCTAGGGGGTTTCACCGTTAAAACGTGATTTACCAGGGGTTCCAGCGTCATGAACATTAGGATGTAGCCCATGAAGAATGAACACATTGAGGTATACACCAACAATCATGGGGATAGTTAGGATTATCTGGCAGTATGATGGTGATTTAATGGGGAGACTTAATGGGGAGACTTAATGGGGAGATAGCAGGGATTTAGCAATCCAAATTTGTTTTTTTAGGGTGACTTCATGGTGATTGTAATGGGATTTCGCCAAGAAACATGGACTTAACGAACAAAAGCAGTAATTCAACCATGTTGAGAGACACCATGTGGTTTCTTTTGGGGCATAAAGATGTCAAGTTGAAGCCACAGGGATGTTCCAGGTGGAACAAGGGAATGCACGCCGTAAGGAGAAAACAACATAAAACAACAACATGATGCAGCAAATTGCCGAAGTCACATGCAACATGAAGCAACCATGAGGAGACCATCAGTATTGGTTTGATCGTGCGCATGATGGCCGAGGTCTGCCCGTGACCAGTCCTTTCGGTCCTCGCACACCGAAGTGGGTGAATCGCTGTGAGCCGGGAATTCGCTGTTGCAGGTGGTGCCTTGTTGTTGGGAGGTTGGTAATAGGATCCACGATCCCCAAATTTACCATTTTTATGAATGGTAAGCATCAATCCATATGGGTGGTTTCTCATTGATTTCTATACCAACATGACAGTCATTGGCCGAAGTTGCCGCAAACTGTGGTACTTGGTTGCTGTTGGGGGCTCCGCCCGCCTGCATGTTTTTTTCTGGGATGCTTGGTGGTTCACCCGACTTACGAAGGACGACTCGGACCTGACGAAGAAAACTGCAGCCACATCTGGGACGCTGTAGACTCTGCAGGCATCTGTAGGCATTGGCAAGTTGCAGAAAAGATCAAAAAAATACACATCGATATCATCCTGGAAATGTGAGTTGAGTCTGGAACTCCTAGGCTTTACGAAAAAAGTCAGATGAATCACCGGGTAGCGCAGCCACTCACCTGGGGTAGCGCCTCCCGGCCGTTCATCTTTTGCCGGGCTGGGTGAGACCTCCCTGTGCTGCCTGGGGTGATTGATCCGCTTGGTATCTTCTTGGTCTTGATCATTCTTGAGCTATATTGGCTCTGAATGTACCGGTGATGATAAGATGATAAAATTGATAAAGTAACCATTATCATAAGCATCTCTAGATGGCAACATTGTGACTGTGACTAGTGTTTTGTTACTGCGGCAGCACTGGGGCAGTGCAGGTGCCACGAATCGCTGGGTAACAGCTCGGTTGGAGGCGTTTTTTTTGATGATGGCCCGGGGTCACATCAAGTGTCTAGTTGCACAAAGAGTCATATTTGGTAACACCATTAAACATCCATGCAGTTTTAACTAATCAATTCCAGTTGTCTATGTATATTTACATGATTTTAGTTGCCTATGTGTATTTACGTATGAAGGTACGCTGCTGTGTGAACAGTTCAGCCAGTTGGAATGTACACCCCTCAGCACTTCTAAGTTGATCCAGGGCCAACGTCAATCCGATCCGTTTAAAATTGTGGCGCGGTGCTTTGAGCGCCAATGCGACAGCACCAGCGCCGTCCTTTTTATTCCGTGGTCATTCGGGGGGCTCTACCCGCGGGTGAAAGGAAGGGGCCAAAGTAGAGGGTCTTATGGAATCGTTTGAGAGATCATTTTGAAATGGGGATCCACAATATTGAACTCTTCAACCATAAGCAATTTGTCATCAGAATGATATTTTTCCGCCCTCTTGGGATGACATGTGAGGCTTGTGAGGCTTGTTTTCCAGGGCTGGATGATGCTCTATTCGTTTCCCCCATTGAAAACTAACCATGGAAGCCTGAAAGGTGACTGATATGGCTTTGGAAGATGATAATGACTGATATGTTTTTTGTGACTTGACACGAGCATTCATTTTTTGGGGTCGGGAAAAAAACGGCAAATTTCGATCAACTTCATAGTTTGCGCAGTGCGCTGATTAGCTGACTGCTGCCTGGCCCCTTCCTGATGAAACCCTTTGGTGACCTCCTTGTAGCTTCGAAGATCCTTACCCCAATCCTTGAAGGATAGAACCATCATTTGTTGATCATTGGAAGCGGGAGTCGGAGTTACATGTACATACCGTATGTAAATCATATACATGTACTGTACATACTCACATAGAGATGTAATTCATGAAGATGGTGATGTTCCCTATGTTCGCCATTTGTTTCCTTTCTAGGCCCATTTGATGAAACGGACACTCAGACTATTCTGGTAGAAATTCTTTTTTGCCACGGGTTTCATCACCTATGGCCGGAATTTTGAGTTGACTACAATACCCAAAAAAGACTTGTCAGACTATGATCTTGAAATGATCCAATATAATCCAATATAGAGTAAAAACAGAGCGGATTCGGAAATGAGTTCCATGTTGAAGTTTGGTGGCTGTAGCCTGCAGCCTTTGCCAAACTCCTGCCGCAGTTCAGGGGGAAGGGTCGATCAAAATCACGAGTCGCCGGTATCGAGGTATCGAGGCGAAAAGTGGGAGTGCGGTAACGCCTTCGCTGTGAAAATGGGGCAAGAGTTCCAAGTTTGGCTTTCATAGTCTAGGTAGATCTAGGTAGTGATATTTGAAATCCATCGAAATCTAATGGGTTTAGGGGTGCCCCATGTTTGTACAAATTCCGAGAAACAATGATGGAGACAAGAGCCAGCGGCACACTGAGACGAACCCTAGAGACAAGGCGATTGCATGCCCAGTTAGCTTTCAGTGCGCAAATCAAATGGGCTTGTCTCAAAAAATACGGGAACCTCCTCCACAAAAACATGATTTCTCATCTGGTTGGTCGTTTGAAATATTGTCGTTTTCCATCCCACTGGGGATGATGCCCATTGACCCAATAGTTTTCAGGCGAAACCACCAACCAGTCATGAATTGCACCTTGGGTCCTCACCACGAGCCAGGCAGTAGCCACTTCGAGGTTTCATTGCAAGGAGCGGCAACTGATTAATTAGTGAGGGCTTAACCAGCAGCCATCATCTGTTGGTGCCTTTGGTCGCATCCCAAAACCGTTGGTTTACATAGGCGAATAGTAGGTTTGACCCAAAAAACGATATGGGGCCCCTGATTTTCTTAACCTGGCATCCTATTTTGTAAAGCCGTGTCATCATTTTTAAGACAGCTCTTCTTCAAAAGCTTACCTCGCTACCTTCTTTTAATATATATATATAAATATATGTTATAAGTTAAATGTATAATATATATATATAATATATATATAATATATGTATAATATATATATATATATATGTTGTATTATATATATATGTGCGTTTTATATATTATATAACACATATAACACATATAACATATATAACATCTATAACATATATAACATATATAACATATAATTACATATATAATATACGTACATTTTCATTACATTTGTGTTCGCCAACGGTCACTGAGTAGTACGAGTTAGACCTTGGTGTGGAAGGTCCATTCGTCCATTCCTATTGGAAAACTCACCAAACTCATGATGGCTAGTTGGAATCATCACATGGCCCTAAATCCGGTGAAGAGTCGAATGCTAACAGTTTAATTGTATTGTATTGTATCCTATGATACTATGTTATATTTATATTATATAATTGTATTATGTTAATTATGTTAATAGCCCGATTTGCCCAGAACTATCAAGGAATTTGTCATAGCATTTCTGGTGCCACGGTGGGACTTGTACAGATGTTAGGGTTAGGCCGGATAGGTGCGCTGAATATCACCTGGCTAGACGGTTGTTCCATTTTGGCTCTGCTGGAACACACACACACAGATGTGTGATGATGTGTGTGTGTGTAACATCTAAATAGATGTAAAACTTCTCTCTTTTTTCTTCCCTTGTCCTCTCCCTTTCTAACTCTAATTTCAATGCAGGGGGCCACCGGGGTCCCGGGGGGGTCGGTGGCCACCGAAGACACCCCCCCGGGACCCGTGTAAACGTACCTGCATTATTCATAGGGTGCATCGTTAATTTCGTTGTTTCATATCTAATCTGCATGTTTCAGGATTCAGTTCCTGCCGGATCATATAATGATCCATTCTTGTCTAGTGTGATTTCCATGGTGGCTCCGACATGGTGCCATGGAGCCATTTGAGGCAACCCTCTTCAGGGTGAGTGTCGACAGTCTTGAATTCTGAATTCACACATTTTAACTTGGTAATTCGTTTAAGTAAAGGGCAACAATCAGCCTTGCGGTTTATCAGCCTTTTCGAGAGTCCCGCGGCTCCTATTGTCCCTTGTGATCCTCGTGAATTGCATTCTTCAAGCGTGACGTTGTTCGAAACAATCAGAAACCTTCTCCTTTTCGCAGCTGCTTCTGACGATTCATGACAACAGCATTTGATACAGGAATCAGGCAGGCACACGACTTTCAGGTGTGGTGATTCTTTCTTTTGATGGTTGTCTGGTGAGGTTAAACATTTTGTGCATCTAATTCGATGGAATTTGAAAGCTGTTTTATGCCAATTGGGGCATGACTTGACCACGGTCCCGGTGCAGGGAATAATCGCACGAACAGTAGGTCTAGGAACTGAGTCCTGTTTTTAACTAATTGTTTTGGTTTTTGTCTGGCATCAACTAGTTCCCCATTGGTCCCTAATCTTTCCCCGCGTGCCTCTCCGTAACGTGTTGTGGGGTTTAGGTGTGTGCGCTGTTTTTGTCAGGTCCGTTTCGCCGTGTAGGTTGGTTCCGGAGGTCCGTCTGTTCCCTTCCCCCCCCTGCGCTGTTTTGGCCGTCTGCCCGTCGTGTGTCCGCTTTTTTCTTCCTCTTGCCTTTCAGGGTTGATCCGGCTCCGGCCGGGTGTGTGTGTGTAACATCTAAATAGATGTAAAACTTCTCTCTTTTTTCTTCCCTTGTCCTCTCCCTTTCTAACTCTAATTTCAATGCAGGGGGCCACCGGGGTCCCGGGGGGGTCGGTGGCCACCGAAGACACCCCCCCGGGACCCGTGTAAACGTACCTGCATTATTCATAGGGTGCATCGTTAATTTCGTTGTTTCATATCTAATCTGCATGTTTCAGGATTCAGTTCCTGCCGGATCATATAATGATCCATTCTTGTCTAGTGTGTGTGTGTATGTATATATATATATGTATATATATATATGTATATATATATATATGTTGATGTACTGAAAACATATTTGTATATATATATATACACATTTACATATGCACATACATATTTATACAGTAAACACACCAAACATCCTATACACACACACACATATATATATATATACTATCCGGTAAACAAACGTAGCTGCGGTTTTTCAATTTTTTCAAAGCTAACCTAGCTGCCAGAATAGGCTGCCAGACTAGCATGTTCCCCACAGACCCTTAGCTATTGGACAGCATCAACAATAAACAAGTAAGAACAAAATTGAACAGGAACCCACTAACATAGCTATCATTTTACAGCACTCAAGGTTTCCAACATAGAAGGAGACCCACTAACATAGCTATCATTTTACAGCGCTCAAGGTTTCCAACATGGAAAGAAGCCCGCGAACATAGCTATCATTTTACAGCACTCGGGATTTCCAACATGGAAGGAAGCCCACTAACATAGCTATGATTTTACAGCACTAAAGGTTTCCAACATAGAAGGAAACCCACTAACATGGCTATCATTTTGTTCTTCACCACACGTATATAACATAGATTTATCAAAAAAGGACGCTGCTAACATAACTATCCATTTTTTTCCTGGGATAATACCATTTTACAGCAAAACTAACCTGGAAAATACGTATGTTTTATATAATTTTTTAAAGGGGCCTTTAGTTTACCAGAGTGTAGGTTTGCTTCATTACCGGGTCCTCCGGTTATCGTCTTGCCTTGTTAGCCACCGGAGGATGTTCCTGGGCGAGTGGCCAACATGACGAAGTGCTCCCAGACTTCGATGTCAGCAGCTGAGACCGATGTATATCCCACAAAAAACGCAACGAATTCTAGTTATATGGCGTTATATCCCCACTTACTCACATCATAGTCCAGTGAAACATGGATAACCATGGATAACCCATTTATATATGTATGTATATATATATATATTGAATAAACGTTTGTGGAGTTATATGAGGGACTTATGAACCAGGATTTTTTTGACAGTTGGAACCCCCCAAGAACAAAGAACAGATGTGGTCAAACCTGATCCCTTGTGGCCGTGGAAAACTACCATTTTCTTACTAAAACATACGGAATCAGTGATTTTGATATATTTTGATCCATTTCCGGGGTCTCCAAGTTTGACTGATACATACCTACAATGTCATCTATGCCTGATATGCTCCCACTTTTGTTAATTCCATTCCGATCCATTAAACTTGCAGGTAAGGCAACAGTGTGTGGGTTACCCTCCTGGCGGCCCAACATGCGGCCGTTGAATTCACCATCAACGGGTCATACTATGTGATGGGTTGAAAGCTATGACACCATCGATTTTTTGGGGTGAAGATCCAGCTACTTTGATGTTCACCAGGGGTACAGGCTTTTGATCCATCGCCATATTTTGCTTATCCGTTCCCCAATCACAATTTCGGCTGGTGAAACAACCATTTTTGCAGCTTAACCTCTGGTAAATTAACATAGACCCTGGCAGATATGGGTTGGAAGATTAGTGTCCATTAAAACTAGGCTATTTTCAGGGTCTATGTTAATTTACCAGATGGTAAACGAAGCATTTTTCTGGGCGATTCCAATGGCTCCACGTCCAGGGTGCCGTGTCGTGCTGCCTGCAGCAGCGATCTGGAGCTGAGCAAACGGAGCTGGAGGCCATGCTGCAACTTTCTTGGAGAGGGAAGTTACTTACCCTTTGGTTATTTAACAGTTTGCCATGGAAAATGGCCCATGAGGTTTTTCTCATGAGAATCAGGGTATATTACAGGGTATATCAGGATCCAAAATCATCCGGAATCATCCAACTACATAAGGACGTTCATGATACGTGATCATCAGGGAAAGTGAGGGGCTAAAAGACTGCTGAATCATCGACATTGCTGAGACAAGTAGAAACTAAGCACAAATTCAGATTCCCAACATATCCCAACATGCAGGACATCGTAATCCAATAAGCTTATAACTTAAGTAACTATGGGAAAAACCTCCACAGTGTTGTTTCGTGCCGCGCTGTTTTTCAGCTCAGGTCAGAACTCGTGCCACGAGAAGAGATGTCCGGGGCTCTCAGCCTTTGGAGATCACCCTGGAATCATGGGCCCAAGAAGAGGAATCATCCCAAGTGGGTGGCCCAACATTTCAAGCTAGTGAATTATTATTATTATTTGCTGTGATTATCATTAACTATTGATGTTATTTATTATTATTATTAATTGTTATTAATTATTATTATATAAATGGCCCAGATAATATGCCCTCTGGTTATGTAGAGCGATTTGGTTTAACCGCAGGTTGTTAACAGGTGAATCTCTGGAAATCGTGGGTCATCAGTCCATGCGAACTGTTCCTTGGGGGACAGGTTGGGCGGGATCAGCATTGATATTTGGATGATTGCTAGGGAGAATCATCCCCAATTGTTGGGATCGTTTCAGATTAGTGAATAGATGTGAATAGTTCTAACCCCTCCAGATATATGGCAAGCTACTTGTACATTTTGTGGGATAGTTGACCCATTTCAACATCTTTCCATCAACTATCCGCGCATCTGGAAATGCTCGTCCGCAGCCGCAAGCACACGCACCCGCCAACGCATATCCCTTGGGATTCGTCCAATCAGCTTTTCAAGCCATGGGCACTTGCCAGAGCGCTCCCACCAACCAGCCAGAGTTGATTCAGAACAGGCCTGGATAGTGGGGGACATGGGCCAAACTGGCTTACCGGTTTACCACTATCTATTGTAAAGAGATATATGTTGAATAACAGTGGCACTGTAGTTGCCCGGAGTTTTTTTTTTCTTTTTCAGTTTTTTTATGCCCACTTCCAGCCAGGCACCCTCATCCACATTTCCAGTGGTATGACGTGCCATGCGCCGAGAAGTTCGGCTGGATTCCAGACATCCCAGACCATCGCGTGCCTTGAGCCACGTGGGATGGTGGCGGATGATGGTGGCACAACTGCCAATCAGTAAAGCTATGTAAAGCTTGATATATATATAATATAATATATAAAATATATTATATAATATATATATATTTATAAACTTGAAGATGGGGGAGTATCAACAACTTTGGCACCAAAGCACCGATGGGGCATGATGGTCGTCTGCAAAATGCTGCTGGACTCAATTCTGGCACTGAAAGCACCGGATCACAGGATTTGCATGTGACCTTTGAGAAGAAGGAGGCCCCCAGCCAGATCAAGAAGAGACTCGGCCGAAAGAATGGCATGGATTTCATCATCATCTTGGGACTCCGTCCAAATGGGAGTCACAATTGGAGACACCCAAAATTGGACGCGTCAGGGTATTTAGTAATTTTTTCTGCTTATGCATCTGTTCATGTAATCATGAATGTATAATTATATATATATATATTAAACTGCACATATGGAGTCCATAGTGACAACGAGTTGTCTGAAAATAGGCACCCCTAGATCTGGTCATCATCATTCCCTATCAACATGGCCACTGATAAATTTGGGACAATTTTCAGACACCCACAGGCATTTTACCCTCTGGTAAACTAACATAACTATGGAAAATCACAATTTTTAATGGGAAAATCAACCATAAATGGCAATTTTCAATAGCTATGTTAAATTACCAGAGGGTAAAGCCAACCCCGACTTGCTTCACTGTCCAATTCCGGTTGCAGATTGTTCACCTGAGGAAGTCTGAAGGAAGCAAGGCATCTTGGCTGAAAAAGATCCTGAGCTGATGCACTTTTGATGCAACATTCACATTTTTCTGACATCAAAGATATCGGATATTACATAGTTGTTAACATAACCACCATTTCATAGGACATGTATAAATATATGAAATAATGGGATGTAACCATCACAAGTATACATACACACATATATATATATATACACATATGCATATGATTTAAGTTCTGATTGTTGTTGGCCAAAAACCAATGATTTTTTTTCGTCGCGAGAACTTTGGCGTTCAGCCGCCTGGAAGGAGCTCGTGGATTTGCGTCCTCAGAATGGTGGCTTCCCCATCTTCAATCAAGGACGGGGATGATCCTCCATGGCTCAACGCCTGGGTTAACCTTGGGTAGTTCGATCCTTGAATCTTTCGGTATAAATGGCTATAAAATGGCTATAAATGGGGAGGCAACTCCAGCAGAGTATCATAGGTTTTTATAGGTTTTTTGTTGATTTATCTTTGGGGTTTTCAACATGACGGGCACCCCGAAATCTAATGGGTCAAAGTCATTTTCTCCATGACGTGACTTGATTTCTGAGCAAACCCAAGCACCAGATTGTTGGTTATTTTCCAGTATATCATTACATCCCAATTATATATATATATATATATCACCATTTGCTTTTGGTTTATACCCCCATTGCAAGTCCCATCGTTCCATTTGTTCATTGGTTACATCCCGATTGTTCAGATTCTTCCTGGTTCCATATCAATCCCAAAGATATATATATATATGCACATGTTTGATGACTCGAACCTACATCCCAGGTACATGCCTATTTCTCAGGGTTAAATCATGTTAAATGCCTATTTCTCTGGGGGCTTTCCGCTTTAACCACCAAAGGTTCTGTGATTCCCAGGACACTTGGGAAGCTGCACGGCCAATGCCTTGGCCGCCGCCTTTCACTTCGCCTTGCACAAGCAGATGGTGCCGACGGCGAAGTTGGGAAATTGAGCAACCATAGTAGGGGCATAGAATAATATTATGGTTATTATAGTTAAAACTATTTATAATATAACTATATGATACGATACAATTCCTGTATTTTGGGGCTTTATGTTATAAATGTAGGGGAATAACATGGCATAATTACACCACTTCGACCCTGGAGTGATGGTTGGGATGGGATTTTTTACTGGGGAGACAATACGACGGCTTGGGAATGGGATAAAATGGGATACATCTATTATCTATCCTATTTATTATCTCTTATTAATTCATTATCTGTTTAAGTTTATGTTAATTTGTTATGGCGACCCTTCAAAAAATAATTTGTAGCATGGGATATTATGGGGATGGGGTAAGTTGCCATGATGGGGGGGTCTGAGTTTAAACCCATTGGGATCTTTGGGGTTCGCAGACTTCCCAGGTGGAGAATAATGCAGACTTCGCTGATTTCACGCCCAGCCGTCTCTTCATCTACTACAACGAAAGGCGGGCGAAAAAAAGGGCGCTGGTTGCAGGTGGAAACAGTGGGGAGTGACCCAGGGAACAGTGGGGTGCTGAACAACTTGGCTTTGCCCACTGTATCATGATTTATGTGCACACACAATATGCATACCTAGATAATGCATAGGACATAATGTAGTATTGATAGCATGCGAACACATAATGCGAACACATAGTTTTTGGATGTTTTTCGTGGTGGCAGTGGACATGTTGTGACAACCAGTTCCCTACAAGTTCCTCCAGGTATGTGGAGGGCAGTGTGGACAGGGACGCAGGCGCCATGATCCGTGATGGCATCAAAGTTATGGAGAAGCTGGGCGTTTGCCCCGCGTCCCGGCGAAACGGAGAAGCAGCGTGGAAACGGATGGTGACCTGGGGGTTTCATGGGAAAATTTGGGAAAATGATGGGAAAATGATGGGAAAATGATGATGTATGGAACGTCTTGGCCAAATTGGAGGTCAAGAAGTTCAGTTTCCAGGTTGGCTTATGGTAGAACTGTTTGGTCCCGTTGTTTTTTTTTCGGGAATACTTACCCTGCAATTCTTCAAGATGGCTTCTCCGGTGTTTCGGCTGAGGAGAAACAGTGGAAGTACGACGACCAACATGACTTCTTCAAGAAGCAACCCGACAAGAGTTGCCACTCGACTGGGTTGAAAGGAACTTGCTCCACCATCCAACTATGGTGCTAAGTCAGCGTGGGAACTCAATGCGAGCTTTTGGCTATGGATGAGCCTAAGAAGATCCTCCAGGAAAAATCACCATGAAACATCGTCTATATGTATGTACTGTATAAATGTAAATATAAATAAAATTAAATAAATAAATAGATAAATAAATAAATAAATGCATATATATATATTTATCGTCTATATATTGTCTATATTGTTTCCGCAGTTGTACCTATTTGGGGAGAACCTTTCTAAGTTGGTGTGCCCGCTGAGCGGGCATGACGATTTCACCCGGATTCATAGCGTAACTGCTTCGCAACAGTTAGTAAAACAACAATAAACCAGCCATATTTTGATGGTTTATACCACCCACTTCTGGTAATTTTGGGGATGGATCCTATTGCTTTACCAACATTAGTCATAAGTTATACATGTTATAACCCTTTGATAACTTCGATACCACGACTGGAAGACTCAGGCTACGACTTGGCCCAAAAGTGCAAAGTGATGGGCTACGCCAAGGTCGCGCAAGAGTTGGATCAGTGGCTTTGGCGAACTTAACCCCAAGAAGGCCATACGAACTCAGGGGACACCGATATTGACATAGCGAACTGGAAAATCACCATTAACAATAGATTTAACAGGTAAATCAATATGTTTATCATCTATAAAATGGGCAATTTTCCATAGCTATGTTAGATATATAACCGAATGTGTAATATATATATATATATTCATAGAGGAAGTTATGATGAACGAGAGGACTTAGGGTGCCTATCTTCAGACAAACCCACATTTGTGTACTAGCTATACTGTCCAAGTGAGACTCTGGTTTCAGGCTATGGCCCCCCCTTCAGACTGCTTCCAGATTCTGCTGATCAGAAAGTGGTTCGATCTACCCTCAACATGGTTTCAAAGTTTCATGCCAAGGGTAGATGATGCTACTTGACCAGGGATTATCATGGGACTATTATTTTGATCATTTGCTGAAGCCATCTCTAGGTGTGCTTGTGGCATACTCCTTGGCGGTAATTTTTGCATTACGACTGCTTGAGCAAGGCCAAACAAATCTGGGGGAATATTGGACTAATGATATATGAATAGTCAAAGGACGGGTATCAAAAAAGTACTATTATATGATACTGTACCTTTGCTAAGAGGGGGCTATTTGGGTATTAACCCTGCCCTGCCATCAATTACCCTGTTGCACAATTCTATCCAAGCGTTTTATATAATCCTGTACACTTTCACATTCGCAACCCGCTCCCCGACGGCGGTATTTTGCCAGATAGAATGACCCATATGCTCACCCATGATCGACACATGTAAAATCATGTATATAGAATCACGTAGAATCTTATGCTTGCTAGATCTTGCTAGTTGTATGGTTTCTCTTTGAATTTGTTACTCCATTTTTTGTGGATGGATCAATGATCTCCCAATCCCAGCCCAAATCGTTCGGGATTTTCCAGGTTGAAGGCTTGCATCAAGCACGGCTATCCCTTCGTTTTCGGCTTCACTGTGCTCACCAGCTTCTCCGGCGACGTGGCCAAGACGGGGAACATGGTCATGCCGCAGCCAGGGGACAAGGTGCGTGGCGGCCACGCCGTGACCGCTGTGGGCTATGACGACTTCAAGCAGTGCTTCATTGTGAGGTGCGGCTGTTGTTTGGATGGGGAGGGTCAGAAGTGGGTTATGAAGAAATCGAACTTGTGGGATGGGTTTTATGCAGGGAATCACCAATCAAATTGGTGATTGAGGATATGTTAATATATTTTATGATGGAACTTCGTGACAGACGGACTCTAAGCATCGCCCTGGGGGCCCAGCCGCTATTGATCCAGATTTACCTACAAATTCAAGCGATGTTTTACTTTCTCAGGCCCGTGTCCCAGGTGGTGGCGGTTCAACAGCATGGGGAGTGAAGATCTTCTCATCGGGGAATTTATACCATGGACTTGGAGGATTTCACCGTTTCACCCTCGCCGCCAGGAATTCTTGGGGCGAGAGTTGGGGTGACAAGGGCTACTTCTACATGCCTTATGCCTACATCACCGATCCTCAACTGGCCCAGGACAGTGGCTCCAGGTTGGACAACCGTATAGTATCCATAGGAGTCTATAGAGATCCCGAAATGGCACCTGTTGAGGGTGCACCCCGGGGTATAACGGCAGAAATCCACTGGTTTACCACTTCACCCTCATGCGGAAGTTTAGGTCTCAGGTCCAGGCCGCTTTTTGCCTGGCCTCCTGTATCCAGAATCTTCAACAGCAGTGATGACCAGGACATTTGGGCTATCAACTGGGTTGAGGGCTTCAAGAACACGAAGACCAAGAAGTGAGGAGCGCTGGCGCGAGGGCGACCAAAGTGGCATCATCTCGGGGGGCTTTTTGCTGATCGTTGGCCAATGTTTTCGATCGCTGGCCAAAATCTGATCAACAAACTCACATCAAACTCACTTTTTTGTTTGTTGTCACGTTGTAAAAACCATTTGCCGCCTCCTGAGCATGATGCCTCGAATGTGATGCAGGGCACTGATTTGAGATCCTCCCAGTCCATCTTGGACCTAGTAGCCATGTCCTGGCTTGGGGGGTTTGAGCACCTTGGCCGAACTGTTAGGAGGAGGTCAAGTGACGTGAAGAAAAAAAAGGTTGCACCATGTTGCACCCCTAAGTGAGAGATCCCCCTAGAGCCACATACATTTTGAATCATTTTGAGCAATTGTTGTCACCAGTGGGTGCCAGATGCCAAGCTTTGGATTCAGTACCATTCAGTACCCCTCCTGCAGCGTGGTTGGTGGCCATCCACTTCCGACGACGGACATATCACGTGGAGTTGGAAGATAGATCCTTTAGATCCTTTTTTTGGATGGACCATAAAGCCGCAGCGGCCTGGACGACTGTATCCTTGGATGCTGTGCTGGGGCCTATGTGCCCCGAACAGCCAACAGAAAAAGAGGAAGCAGCTGCAGCCAATGCTCACTGTAATCCCTTATTAATCCCTATGAATCCTCTGCTAATTCACTATCTTTCCTTATTAATCCCATATGAATTCCCTGTTAATTCCTATTAACGACCTATGAATTGTATTCCATTCACTTCAGCCAGATATTTCCAGGTGTCGTTCCAGCGACGTGGAGCAGCTTTGGTCCTGCGAGGCCGCGAGCTCGAGGGTGCGAACGCCAAGTGTTTTGTTTTTCTCGGAGAACTCGAGGTTTTTGGATTTGAGGGGATTTAACCCATGAAAAATGGTGGTTTAATGGGATTTAACCAACAAAAATGGTGGTTTTAATGGGATTTACCCTCTGGTAAATTAACAGTCTGACCCTGAAAATCAAAAATTTTTGAGTGGAAAACGAATCTTCCAACCCTATCTGCCAGGGTCGAACTGTTAATTTACTGGAGGGTATAGGGATTTAACATATTCGCTTGTACCCGGACGTTTGCCCGCCCTGGAATTGTGGAAGGGCTGCGTATTTCCAAAGTCTATGCAGGTAAACCGGTACGTATATGATTGTATATATATATATATATCTAATTATATATATGCGTATCCCATGCGATGTATTGTTCAGAGGGAGTGGCGGATTTGATCCCTTCTGAAGATAAGCTGGAGTTCATATCCCATTCAATATATTGTTCGGAGGTGGCGGCAGATTTGATCCCTTATGAAGATAAGTGGTGGGTGCAGGTCCGGGTTGGAGACAACATATCACATCAACTTTTCTGTTTTTATTTTTGCGGGTTCTGAACTCGCTTTTTTTTTTCCATGTTCTAGTTCTGAAAAATGTGAAGAATTTGCTTTTAAATGGATTGAAACATCATAATGTGCTAATGAAATTTGATGGAGAATGATGCAGATCTTTACATCATGAGGAATGGGGAGTTAAACACCAAGACCATCAAACCTGTAGATTTGGACGATCGAACACCTACAATGCGAAACGCATGGTGATTTCATGCGTCCAAATTTCTTAGCTGGTTTTAAAAATACAAAATGGGATGCCCTCTCTGAATTTTTAAATGTGGACAAAATGCCCATTTATAGATGATTTACCCTTGGTACGTAGCCATTTTCGATGCTTCGATTGCCAGAAGGTATTTGGATCGTCTCTGGCAAACAGCCATGGCCGGGGACAGTCTGCCTCCAGGTGACGAGTCCTGACGACATTGCTACACCCCCCACATTCAACATGACACCGATGACACCCAACAAATTGGTTCCGGAAGATTCTTTTCCTATTGGATCTATCGGATCTAAATTTTCAACAGTTTTTGGGTTCCATGATGTTCCATGTTAAAGAATCAATCAAGTGCATCTATGGATATCTATGGCACATCTATGGCACATCCATAGCTGATTGTACCCTCTGGTAAACCAACATAACTATGGAAAATCATCATTTTTAATGGGTAAATCCACTATACATGGCAATTTTCAATAGCTTTTTGTATGTTTACCAGAGGGTAACTTCCAGCCTTTCCACGTGGACGTGGACGTGGAAGACGTGAGTCGATCCGGATCTAAGGTGCCCAAGGCGGGCCATCCGCATGAGGAAGCACAGAAAGTCCTGGATCTCACCTTGAAGGCCAGGTTTTAGACGGAAACCCAGGGGTTCTATAAATGGAGATACCCTCTGGTAATTTAACATAGCTATTGAAAATGGCAATTTATAGTGGATTTACCCATTAAACATGGTGATTTTCCATAGTTATGTTAAATTACCAGAGGGTACCCCAATAGCTGGTGACAATTATAGTTCCAAGGAGATATCTGAGATACCCCCCATAGCTAGATGGTCTATTGATGTTTATTTCATGAAGAATCCACCCCCAAAAAATATGGATGATTTAGGGGTACCCGCATGGAAACCTCCATATCTGGATGACATGATGACACTGTGATGTCACGGACATGATTGATTTATAGATCCTCAGCCAATATTTTCTGATAGAAAGTTAGGCTGAAGTATGCGGTTTGACTGACGTTCCTTTCCTCTAGAGTGTTTTCAGCTCAAGGGTAGGTAATGCCCCCCGGCACGTGCAACAAGTGCCGGCAGCTGATAGCAACAGAGGGGGACTCCTGGTGCAACTCCTGCAGCGCTTGGGAGCAGCTCGGCAGGGAGCTGGCAGCGTCCTGGGACCAGCAGGGAGCGAGACTCCTTGCTGGGGATCTGGTGCTGAATACTGCTAGGCAGGTTCGTGCACTAAGATCCCTTTCTGCGGGGCTGGCTCGTCAGTCGGCTCCCCCTCCAGCTGGCGCAAGCCGTTGCTCGAGGGAGAGGAGCCCTGACCGCCGCGCCTCGCTACCCCGGCGACGCTCCGAGGCACCAGGGGACACCCACAAGCCTCCAAAAGAGGAGGAGCCAGACGAGGACGAGGAAGAATCGGAGGAAGAAGAGGAGGTCGAGCCCAGCCCAAAGGGGCGAAAAAGAGAGAAATCCCGGGATAGAGACCCACGTGACCGCGATCGCGGCCGAGGACCTCCTCCCGAACCCGACCAGCCTCCGCGCGGTCGAGAGACAGGGCAGCCAGCTGGCACAGGCCGTGCTGAGCCCAGGAAGCGAGACAGGGACCGGGACACCGAGCACCGTCGGAGGAAGTCGCACAAGAGCGGCAGACGCCGAGCGGGGCGAAAACATCAGGGTCTAGCACGCCTTGCTCTGAATCCCCACCTGACTGTGCATCGCAAGCCACCAGCCGAGTTTTGGGATTTGAGAATCAATTGCCCGGACAGGCACGACTTGGAGACTCTTGGTCGTTGAGATGGGTAGCTTCACTGAAGGTGTTGAAGTTAGTATTGACGACCCAGAATGGAGTACGATTCAGCCCATTCCTGGGCAAATCATAGAGGTCCTTATATCAGGTTCCGACATTCCCTTGATAGACTTCGAGGCTCATGCCATGTTCTTCATCAAAGAGGTCGGTACGGAATTAGATGGGAGTCATGTCCTACACGTCAGGTTGCTAGGGTGCGACAACGAGGATGTGGGCGAGAAGCTGGACGAGCGCTTTGGCGAGGGTGTGGGCCGGCTACATTTGTGCCTATCGCGGCCGTGTGTTACGAGTCGCGAGTTGTATGCCACCCACATCACCAAGTTCCGACTTTGGACAGTGGCGGGCGCCCGAAGATGCGAATATTATCGTCGAGGTGCAGCCACTCTGATAAAAGAGTTGCAGAAGGAACTTCAACCTCCCAAAAGGGCTGGCCCCAAGAAACCTCCTGGAGCTGGCAAGCCGACCGGTGCTGGAAAATCTCCGCGCACCAGGACGCGAGAGCCGCGCTCCACGGAGGGAAAAGGCAAAGAGGACGTTGCAGAACTGCGCTTGAAGCTGCGCAAGAAGCTTGCGGGGCTGCGGGACGATGGAAAGAAAAAGAGGCAGGAAAGAGAAGACGAGGGCAGTCCACCTGGAGAGGAGGCCGAGGAGATCGACAGCTCGGAAGAGTCTTATACCCCATCACCAGGGGAGCTGAGGACTGGAAGCCTCCTAGGCGGACCACCCCTCCCGCCGGCGCTGGCCGATGCGGAAGCGGGGCAGGCAAGACGCATTCATCGGGAGGCTTCAAAAGGTTCTTCTACAGGCGACTGGAGCGTTCAGCTGCTTCGGAAGGCGGCTCAAGTGGCCGAGCATCAGAAGAAGAAGAGGAAGAAGAAGAAGGGGGGACACCACCAATCAGGACAGGAGGCAGTCCGCGAGCTTGCCAAGATCCTTACCAAGGTGGGGTCGAAGAAGAAGAGGAAGAAGAAAGGCGGGGAAGATCCCCCTGGTCCGACGTCGAGCTCCAGCGAAGACTCTCGGAGCACTTCGAAAGGAGAGAAGGAGGACTCCGACTCCGACCTAGAGGCTCCGATGAAGAAGAAGAGCCGCGACCGCCCAGGATCGGTGTTGGCACTTTTAGTCAACCACATCCGAAATGTGATGGAGCAGGGGGCGCTGGCAGATGTGCCGGGTCGCCTCCCCCAGATCACAGGCGGGGTCAAAGTGGCCAGCTACTTTGCGCTCCACATCAAGCCTCATTTTGGCCAGTTCCAGCGCGAGCTGAGGGAGATGTTCTCCTTAGCGGCGACGCTGGACCTCTTGAGGTCAGGCGACATGGCGAGAGTGGGAGACTCACTGTCAGCCCGCTTCATAGCCCTGCACCAGTTCATGATAGACCAAGGCTGGTCGACAGCCCGACATATGGAGCTGCACAGCATGGACGACGGCCAGGCAGCAGGAGCTGCGATGGTGCTGGCTTCGAGGAAGCACTCCCGTCTGGTCGACAAGGTGCAGGGCAAGGGCTGGAGCAACGCCAGCTGGGGCACAAAAGGAAAAGGGAAGGGCTGGCCAGTGAGAAGCCGTGCCGATCCCACAGGGGAGACAAAAGGGGACCGACCCAAAGGACGCGAGAAGGGCAAAAAAGGAAACAACAAAGGAGGTGGTGGAAAGTGGGACGCAAAAGTCCAAGACTGGGACAAGTCCCGCGACAAGGGAGAGGAGAAGTGAGCAAAGAGGCTCTGGCAGCAGCCGTTGAGCCTAGTCTTGGCCATCCCCACGAGGACTCAAGAGGAGCGCACAGTGGGTTGGCGGAGACCTCCTATGAAGTGGTGCTGCAACGGTGCACTAGCCTTGATAAGTGCGGCTGTGCGCTGTGCTGGGCACTCTTCAATGCAGGAGCCGTTTCACAAGCACAGCAGAATTCATTTTTCGTGAAGAGCATTTTCAACCCCGACGTGTGGCACCGGGCACCTCGGAAACGAGGCGCTCTACCCATTCGATTGGGGGGGTTTGCTGCTTTGAAGTTTTTGATGCAGACAAAGACCCTTGAGGAGGTCACAACAGGAGGTTTTGTCCAGGAATGGTCTACACGGGCGTGGGAGGCACTGGCCTGTTTTGGGTGCAATGCCTTACATGAAGGCCCTGCAGCTTTCAGCGAGGGGCCTTGGTCTAAGACGGAAAAGAGGCTGGCATCCGCCGTGGCCCAATCCGTAGCGCGGTTGGCTAGCCACGGCCAGGCAGAGCACTTCGACCTGGCGGCCCTGGAAAAAGAGCTGCTGTCGCGTAGGGTAGGTTATGATGGAGAAGAGGTAGGAATTTGCCATGCCCTCACGTTTGATCAAGTTTTGCCTGCTTTACCCCCAAAGGAACATGGTGGAAGCATTCAAGTTAGTAACTTTCTATGTGAGGGGACACGTCACTGGCTGGATTACCCTGAGAAATTGGTTTTGGAGGATACGGGGCAAACACTACCCAAACTACAAGGAAGGATTCATATTGTTGCGGAAGATGTGGACTCTATTGCGGCAGCATTGGTAGAGCGCGGGGTGTGCCAGTGGTTGGAATTGGAGGAAGTGGCTGAATTTAGAGGTGAAAAAATTTTGAACGGTCTTTTTGGGGTGCCTAAAACTACCCGTCTTTCAGACGACCGACCTATTCTGAGACTGATTATGAACCTGGTGCCGGCAAACTCAGTACTCAAACAATTGTCTTCTGGAACCAAGCGTTTGCCCCATATTACTTCTTGGCTTTCTACCTTCATTGACCGAGACGAAGAGTTGCGCATATGGCAGAGTGACATGTGCAACGCTTTCTACCTATTTAGGTTACCGCAGCCATGGGTCAAATATTTGTGTTTCAATATTCAGCGAAGGGGTAAAGACATTGGACATCACAAAACTGAGTCAGTTTTCTGTTTGGGTTGTCAAGTGTTACCCATGGGGTGGTCCTTGTCAGTAGCGATTATGCAGGAGGTTTCAGAAAATATTTTATATGCGGGAGATCTCACAGCAGAATCCCAGCTGGCCCGTGGGTGCGCCTTGCCGGGATGGATGGTTGGATTGATTGGGGAAGCCAGGGCCCGCGACAAGGCCTGGTGGCACGTATATTTGGACAATTTCTGCGCTGGAGAAGTGGCAGAGGTTGGTAGCACTTTTGAAGGAGGAAGAGAATTACACGACTTGGCGGAGCAGGCCTGGTCAACAGCGGGGGTGATTTCCTCGGAGGGAAAGCGAAAGAGAGCAGAAATCCGGGGACAGGAGTTGGGAGCCTATTTGGATGGAAGTGACAAATGCATTGGAGGATCACCAGAAAGAATGCTGCGCTTGATTCAGGCAACGCTCTGGCTTTTGGGGCGCAAACACCTTTCAAAGAAACTGACACAAGTGATTGCGGGAAGATGGATACATGTGCTGCAATTTCGGCGACCAGGGATGGTAGTTCTTGAAAAGATCTGGGAATTCATCACTAGCAAAGGGGTCAGGGCTGACCTGGTGCTGACCGTACGCCAAGAACTGTTTCAATGCTTGAGCCTGGTTCCGCTTTTACACACCTTTTTGGGGGCCGAGATTTCAGCTGATATCACGGCGAGTGATGCCTCTCAAGTAGGAGGAGCCGTGGGGATAAGCCGCAACCTGACTGAAGCGGGAAGGGGCTTCGTGGGAAGCGTAGTTGGAACGCCCCCCACGCAAAAAGCTCCTATCATGGTCCTGAGCCTTTTCAACGGGATAGGAGGAGCACTGCGATGCTATGACATCTTGGGGATCATCCCCGAAGCGATACTGGTTTTTGACACTCATGCTCCTGCTAACAGGGTGGTGTCCCGGAGATGGCCTGCAGCTGAAATCCATACGGATGTCCGGTCGATTGACAAAGGCATGATTGACAACTGGTTTCTTAAATACCCTCAAGTACGTGAAGTACACCTGTGGGGAGGCTTCCCATGTACCGACTTGTCGTCGGCAAAAGCAAATGCAGAAGGATTGGCGGGAGAACAATCCAGCTTATTTTTTGAAATCCCCAGGATCAGATCTTTGTTGGAAGCGGAAGCTCCGCCTGACGTGGAGGTAAAGATAGCTATTGAGAACGTTGCCTCAATGCCCAAGTCGGAGTGTCAGGTCATAAGCTCCTATTTGGACCTGAAACCATACCACCTGAACTGCGCAGATGCAGTACCAATGCAGCGACCTCGGTTATGCTGGACGACGGAACAAGTGGCCGGGGTTCTGGGGGATATTCAAATCACAGAGGATGTATACTGGGACTGGATTACAGCAACAGGTGAATACCCCCCGGTCGATGCTTGGATCCGTCCGGGCTACGTGTGGGCAGGAGAGCAAGAAGGTGCCACCCTTCCAACAGCCATGAAATCCATACCGCGCCAAAGACCACCACCTAGACCTGCTGGTCTGCATCGTTGTGACCTTGACTGCCAAGCACGATGGGCCAGTCACAATTTCAGGTTTCCACCGTATCACTACCTTCCGCAGTTCCTCTTCTGGAAAGGCAGCTGTTGGCGACTCGCGGATAGCACAGAAAAGGAGTTATTATTGGGGTATGGATATCAGCATACAAAGCTTTGCTACAGTGCCTCAAAGATCAAGCAGTCCATGACACGATATGAGGATGAACGTTTGTCACTTTTGGGGGATTCTTTTAGTGTGGTTTCATTTGTCATCATTGCAGCTGCCTTGTGTCGAAGATACATGCCAAAAGTACCTTATTCCACTTTGCTGAAAAGAATGGGGTTATCGCCGGGATTTACAACCACTTTGAGAGTTGCTGCCCCATTGCAAAGAGGCCTTTGTTATGGTATTTTTGACAAAATCCAGGGAGACATACAGGATCTAAACAGAATCCTCCTCACGCGCACCAACCATACAGGGTCTGATGTAAAAATCTCAACAGGGGAGGTTCTTAATCCAAAAGCAGCAGTACGACAAAGCATAGAAGAAGCATGGTGGCAGTGGGAGCACGTTTTCAAGGTCAGATGGCAGGTTCAACAACATATCAACATATTGGAATTGCGATCAATACTTTTGGCGGTCAAGTTCCACATTCTCCATTTGAAAAAGTGCCATGCTCGAATATTTCATGTCACAGACTCATACATCTGCATGTCGGTGGTAGCCAAGGGACGGAGTGGTAGCAGACAACTCAACAAGGTTCTTCGACAGTTAAATGCGTACCTGTTGGGATTTGGTATATACATTATTATCGCACACGTTGAATCTAGTGAAAACCCCACGGACCATGCCAGCCGTGAAATGGCAGTTTGTGCAACGCCGGTCGAAAGCCGAGCGTGCCCGTGACAGAGGGCGGCTGGTGTTATGGGACGCTTCTATTACCAAGAAGACGCAGGAGCGATACTATAGTGGATTACAAAAACTGCTACCAGTCTTAGTCAATGTGACCACCTTCCTGGCGCTGGATGAACGAATCTGTGACTGGATTCAACGAGCATGGGATGAAGGAGAGTGTCAACATGTGGTGGGGGACGCACTTTGCGGTCTCCATCACTACGAAGCATGGACAAAGTCACACATACCTAATAGCTGGAAACTTTTCAAGGTCTGGCGGCGGCTGGAACACCCAAACCGAGCCCCACCACTGGTGCCAGAGGTGCTGGAAGCTTGGACTATGTATTCTCTTTGCCATCGCAACTTTGATCTAGCGGCACTCCTGATGTTAGGATTCTACGGCCTGCTGCGGACAGGAGAACTCCTCCAGCTTCGACCATGTGATGTCTTGGTTGGTGAAACCTCTGCAGTGATTAGCTTGACTGACACTAAGACCAGTCTCAAGAACTCTGTTAAAGAAATGGTGAGCTTTGACAACGCCATGGCACTGGAAGTTGTCCGTGATGCCATTGAATACAAGAAACAGAACAACCTCATGCGAGTCCCTTTTTGGACCAAATCTGGTTCGCAATTTCGAAAGGAGTTCTTGAAGCTGTCACAGAGGTTTGACCTTGAGAAACATAACTTTCGTGGATATAGTTTACGTCGTGGAGGAGCGACGCACTTGTTTCATTCCACTGGTAGCATGGAAAAGGCGTTGCTTGCTGGAAGGTGGGGCTCACACCGGGTGGCGCGCCTATATATATGTGATGGCCTCAGTCACCTGCCATCAATCACATTTTCCTCAGCAGCAAAAGCCATGCTTAAAAAGTGGGCTCCAAGTAACTGTTTATAGTCTGTAGTTTTTACAAGCAAACTCGTTTGCTCGTGCAAAGGGGACGTGGAGAGACCTTCCTTGGTCATTTCTTTTTTTCTCGAAAAATCCCTTCCATGGGATACAACAGAGAGATTGGAAGATCTCAATGCAAAGTTCCTTACATGGAACGAAAGACTATACATGTGTGACCGTGGATGTAACTCCATAAGTTTGGAATTTGTTTTTCATGGGAACTGTGAAAATGACACAGTTCAAAAACCATACGCTGCACGTCGGAAAAGAGAGCGTGCTGAAGCCTATATTTTCTGATAGAAAGTTAGGCTGAAGTATGCGGTTTGACTGACGTTCCTTTCCTCTAGAGTGTTTTCAGCTCACCCACAACCAACCCCCCCTGACAGGAGGGAGAGACCTTCCTTGGCCATTTCTTTTTTTCTCGAAAAATCCCTTCCATGGGATACAACAGAGAGATTGGAAGATCTCAATGCAAAGTTCCTTACATGGAACGAAAGACTATACATGTGTGACCGTGGATGTAACTCCATAAGTTTGGAATTTGTTTTTCATGGGAACTGTGAAAATGACACAGTTCAAAAACCATACGCTGCACGTCGGAAAAGAGAGCGTGCTGAAGCCTATTTTTAGGTTAGTGTATTGTGGCCCGATGTTTTTTAGATGTCTTAAGTTCCCTCCCGTTTTGTCAAATGGGCTGCAAAGAGTATCTCAGGGGCCACTTTGCGGTGACAGGGAAGCTGCCGGCATTGTCTGATATGAAAACAGCATGATACCAAGAGCCAAGGGGTCCTCCGATTTGAAAAATCCAGCAACAAACAACGAACCCGTATATGTATATATATGCATACACACATATATATATATATATAAATAAACACACACACATATATATATATATATATATACATACACGTGTATATATATATACATATGTATATCTATCTATCTATCTATCAATCTATCAATCTATCAATCTATCAATCTATCAATCTTTCTATTCTATTCTATTCTATTCTATTCTATTCTATTCTATTCTATTCTATTGGATTCGATTCGAGTCTAGTCTAGTCTAGTCTAGTCTATTCTATTCTATTCTATTCTATTCTATTCTATTCTATTCTATTCTATTCTATTCTATTCTATTCTATTCTATTCTATTCTATTCATTCTATCTACATACCTATATATCTGTAATATATATATTATATATATATATGTATATATATATATGTATATATATGTATATATATATGTATATATATATATGTATATATATATATATGTATATATATATGTATATATGTATATGTATATATATATATATATATATATGTGACATGTGTATATACATACATATTTATAAAATCATGGCATGTGTGTAGGCCTGCAAAATCTCACTAACCACCAGTTGTGGTGCCGCTTGGGAAAGCGCCGTCTCGGTTGGAGCGTCGACACCAGGAGATGTGCCAAGACGCCTGGATGTCGCGTCTTTGGCCCTGACCTTGGGGAAGTTGTGATGCGGCTCCTGTGGGAAACATCGCACCTAGTGTAGTGTAGTGTAGTGTTGTTGTTGTTTTTGTTGATGATGATGATGATGATGTTGAAGATGAAGATGCAACACCAGCCGTCAGAGGGTGCATGCACAGAAAGGTCCGATTCGACTGGCCTCAAATTTCCAGCGGCGAATTTTCTCCAAAAGCCCAACTTTTTTCAGGTTAACCTACCTGGACTGCGACTTTCTGCAGAATTATCTCAGATGGACCAGTCCCGAGTCAGATTGGCTGGAGGAGGCCTTCGTGTGGGGAAGCTCAGTAGCAAGGAATTGCAATGGCAGAACTCCCTTTGGGGGCCAATTGCCTTAGAACCTACACTTTTTAGGGCTGTAAACGAATCATGTGATTCGATCTGGATATATGACCCATAGATCTGTCATGATATGTCTATGTACTGTAGTGATGTCGCATGCCTTTTTTCGGCTGAGATCAACAGTGAACCGCAAGTGTCATCGCCACAGTCGCCTAGGACCTATGTCGCAGGCCCACAGGATTCCATCTACGCGTTGCAGGCGGCCAGCTGAGTTCCATTGGGCCATGATTTTTCCAGGGCTTGTGGCATGTCTCGCTTGGTTTAGAAGGAACTTCCAGATGAAATCCCAGTGGCACAGAGTCCGACTTTTTGCTGGCTTTTCAGAAGGCTTTTCAGGTCAAATGAACATCCATAGATCTCTAATCTCTATAGATGATTTCCAGTAAGATCTCCCTGTTTTTGTTGTCGCTGTCCAGTGGAGCAAACAAGAATTTTCTGCTTGGTGCTTTGGAACATGTCCTATTTTTTTCCATTGGGAATTTCATGATCAAAAAAATGGACGAACTGACTCATAACTCCATCATTTTTCAGAGGGCTAGGGCTCAACCACCCACCAGATAATTATTAACCATCATTAACCATATTTCATAACCATTAATATTACCCATTAATATTACCCATATTATTTTTCCGTAGATAACCAGATTTTGATGGCACAAAAATGTCTGGTTCCATGGCACCACGGGGCTCCAGATGGCTCCGCTCCAGGCTGTAAATTTGATTCGTTCCATCGACCTCTTCTCCACCCGTCCCGTGGTGGTGGTGGCCTGGGCTCCCATGGCCTCCCTGGGCTACCGATGGCTCCCTGGTGATTGGAGCATCGGTGGCGAAGGTCCAGGTGGGGCGTTAAAGATTCCCGGGACATTCACAGTTTACTATATATGGCTATGGATCAATACCTATTAATAGCATTTTTAGGGGGATGAACATCAATAAATCCCAGCTATTTTGATGTTCACTAGGTACCAGGGTTTTGACACACTGCCATTTGATCTATTTGTATGGTGGTATATGGTGGTATTTTCATGTGGTATATGGTGGTATTTTCATGTATTCTCTCTCATAAAGCATCATAAAGCTATGGGCGCCACAAAGCACCGAGATCAGTTTCGAGCCGAGAGATTCAGTGATCGCAGTTTCAATGCTGACCTGCCTGAGATGGCACCAGAGAGAGAGAGAGAGTCTTAAGAATCATCTCTAAAGCAGATACTTGGGAAGGATTGAATCACTATAGATTCACCATAGATTCACCTTGTGCAGATGATTTTCCTTGGAAGCAGCGGGTTCTCAAGCCACGAGCGCATCCGCCCAGCCAAGGTCTTTGACGACAAATTCATGCCCCCTGCCCAGTGGCATGGCTTTCCAAATGTCCGGTGGCACAGTGTCCATGAGCTGGGCATGTGTTGTCATTGAGAAAAAAACTCCGGAATGGTGAGGACTGGTGACTATAGTGCTTGAAATAGCCACATCGTTTTGGACATAGTTTTTTTGCTTTTCGCCTGAAAGCACACCTGTTTTCAGGCAAATTGCTGTCACTCAGGTGATCGTCTACAAGATGCTTCCCATGAAAGGCCTGCGCCCATGGGAACTCCAGTGGCCAACATGGGACCGGAAGATTTCCATGGCGAATTGCTTGACCGCTGATCAGGGACCCTGGTTAGAAATATTGGATCAATATGCATCGACTGCTCATCGACCCGGGGCGTGGGGCGTAGGGAGGCGTGTTGATGTTTTGATCCGACAACTTTGAGAGCACCATATCCTTCTCAACCATCCGAAGTTGCAGCACCACGATGACAGCACACGCCAAGTTCTAAGGTTGGGTCGATGAACCTCCCAATAGCATCCAATAGCCAGGTGCAGTTGGTAGATGATCCGTTTCACAAAAAATCAATATCTACTAAATAGTACATCTTAAACCCCACAAAGATCCACAGATCTCGTCAAATTCCATGAGAACAACGGTACTCTGGTGCTCTGCCAAGGTCACCATGTCTCCTTCAACTTCAACAAGCTGCGTGCCATGGTGGCGGCCAGAGTTCTGGTGGGCATCCAACTGGAGCGCAGTCCGAAAACCCGCCCTTTTCAGTGATCATTTCCTGGTAGAAATGGGTGACCTTTTCGGCATTTGAAAAAATGATTGGCCAAAAAAAGAGGACTGGGATGTTTCCATCTTCTAGGTTTCTTTTCGATGATTTGGCAGGGACTTCAACAAAATCATGACCTGTCTGGTGCTGCAGGACACGGACCAACTCATCACTCCAAGCCTTGAAAGGAGCCATTTTTGGGATGGCAGGGTCTCGGGTTGCAAGGCTCGCAAGGGATGATAAATACCGCGAAAACTTGAGAAGATGATTCCCACGAAAAAATCAATTGTTTTAAGACTTTGAGAGCCCTTTTCCGCGGAGAAATCGGAGAACGATTCGTTCACCGAGAAAAGTGGCTTGAGATGCTGCAGAAATTGTTTAGAACATGGGTGTCGAGCGACTCAGACTGATGAAAGCTGATGGAATCAACAAAGATGGGGACCAAAAAATGGGCAACAGTTGATGGCTGTAAGAATCTTAGATTTCCAATCCGTGCGTGGGATGAACATAGCAAATGTTTACCAACTGCCTGGTAGGAAGCACCCCCCCTATTGCGGGGGGACTGACGATTTTTTGGGGGTTGCAGCACGTCAGTTCTGGTCTATTTCTTGTCTTCAAATGCTCCCCAACAAATCCCCCTATGGAAGCCCATATTACCCTCTGGTGAACTAACATAGCAATGGAAAATCACCATTCTTAATGGGAAAATCCACTATAAATAGCCATTTTCCATTGCTGTGTTAGTTCACCATTTTCCATTGCTGTGTTAGTTCACCAGAGGGTATCTTATGATTAAATTCAAACCTGGTCTCATATCGTGGTTGCAGTGGCTAGCAAGATGACAGGAAAGTAAGAGTCCCAAGATAGTTGGAGGTTTCCTGAAATGGGGGTACCCCCTATGTATAATACATTTTTTTTTAAAACATCTTTTTTTGATTTTCCTGAAAAAATCCACAAATTGGGATACCCATGGGTACCTTCGTTTCGGTTCCCAGCTGCAGGATGTTTGCCGCCACTCGGCGGGAGATCCATGAACACTACCCCTGGGTGATGTTGCCAGTCCATTGGCCCCTTGGCAGAGTGATCCAGTCCAGGAGTTGGGATAGTACTTGTTGGCGCGAGATGTTGCATCAAATCCGACTATCACATACTATCACAATAAAAAAATATGGTCATTGATGATGAAAAATCATTCCCATTCGCAGCTGTTGAGATGGAGAAGATTTCCATAGATTTCCCCAGCTGGCCACGGTTCCCTGAGGATGTCCCGGGACGCAGGGGACCTCAGGGGACCTCCATTGGGACCTCGGCAGATCGGAGACCCAAAAATGATGGCACCATGATATTCCAAAGCTTATTAGGTCCTTAGGTAGTCAGACGTAGAAAAGAACATGGAATTGAGTGAAAACGCACTGAAAATGAATCTTATAAATATACAGATCCATACATATCCAACATTTCCAGCCATTGAAACGACAACAACCAATAAAAACAACCATGATCCACCATGGTATTGGAAAGCCCCAAGCCATGATCATGGGAAAATCCGGACCCCGAGGCCAAGCCGGGTGAGCTCTACTCGGTGCGGGGACCTGGCGTGGCACTGAGTTTGGGAGCGGTGGTGCTTCTCGTCTTTGCTGAGGACATGAACTTCCAGGGTTGGCACGGTCAGAGGACAATGAGGCGGGTGCCAAAATTTAAGCGATTCTGCAGGAGGTAGATTTTTATGTCAGAGTTGAACGTGAAGTCAGGTGAATTCATTGAATGCCTATGTATTGCCATGTGTTTAAGGGCCCAGTGCCCCCCCTACAGACCCTCTGCTCCGGGTCTGTGGCCCAGGTGGGGTCATGCTCATCCCAGCTGGAGCTTTTGGGCTTTGCCATTCCTTTGCAATTTGCTGTACGAACGGTGGCCTCCTCAGCGGTTGGAGTGGCCCAGAGTGGCCCCCCCCAAAAAAAAGGCCCGGGCGGCCCAATGTGGTGATGGTTTTGGTGAATATGCAGGTTCATAGATCACATCCCCGCCATTGCAACCAGGACATTTCTAGCAAAGTGGCAAAGTATCAGGTTTCTGGGCCAGTTTTTTGCTCATTTACCATCTGGAAATCAAACATAATCAAACATCGCAATGGAAAATTGCCAGGGTTTTGGATGCCCTTACCCTCTGGTTATTTAACATAGCCATGGGAAATGGCCCATTCATAGATGGTTTACCTATTCAAAATTGTGATTTTCCATGGCTATGTTAAATAACCAGATGGTACTAGAACATGCCGTTTTAGTTTTTCGCCCGTTCCCACGGTGGAATTCCCAGAGAAAAATCTCTCCATGCCTTCAGGTTCCGCGCTGCCTCCAAACCTGGCAAGATCGAGGTGGGGCTGTGCCCTCCGTTCATCACTGGGACATATCATATCTCAACTGGGTTGATAAAAGTGATGTTAGGAGTTAGGAAGTGAATTCTTATCTTACATGACATACCTTAACTCTATTAATAATAGCTATAATATATACCTCAAGCCACCAACTTTCAACTTACAGCATGCGCCGGCTTGCGAGCCTTGGGATGATCCAAAAATCCAGGTCTGGGACCTCAAAGCCGCTGAGCTTGTGGGGCTGCCCACAGTGCTGCGGGAAGGGAAGAAGCTGATCCGAGAGGCGATCCGAGGGAGCTCTTGGAGCATTTTGATGAGTGGATTGCAACAGAATGGCACAGATCTTCACAGAATTTTCATGCTTTTTATGGATCTTTTTGGTGGTTAAGATATGTTAAGATGAGTCACAATGATGAGTGGATTGGTCAGGGATGGATCGGCATGGGGATGGTGGCTGTTGGGAACCACGATGCCATGAGTTTTGATGGTCACACTGATGATTTCCTAAAAAAGATTGGTAAGGTTTTTTCATCTCAACAGCCGGGCTTCAGCCCGCTGTTTGCCGGGGACGTAGTTTCAAGATGTTTCAAGAGATTGGAGCCCCAGCCCGAAAAACCGTCATTCACAGTCAACCAGTCAGGTGACGTTTAACCATCTGAATGGGACATTTGCAGCCCTGAAAACTGAGATGTTTTGGATTTTTTCACCCACCATTTTTAGGTCAAAAGGTGCAGGACCACCCCCTAAACTAAACCAAGTCTTGAAGGTAAAGGATCCATGGGTTTTTGCCGACATCACCGTGATATCTTGGAGGATCACCCTGGAATTCTTCAACTGTTTCAAGTGTTCGTGGTTGGCAAGCTTAGATAAGCTTAGTATAGCGTAGTTTCAGATACTGTACTTGTGAAGGTCAACTCTAGGTTTGTGAAAAGTCTCATACCGACTCATACCCACCGGCGTCCTGGCGTAATGATGATATGACGATCCGATGCTCCATTCCGGGATTTGCTACTCATCAACCACTGGGGAATCTACGTTGCAGGCGAAGTTCGGACACTTCATGTTGGAAGATGAGGCCCCAACGACCGCACAATGAATGTTGGCTCGTTTCTGTCTCCAACCGGAGGAAAAACATGACCAGAGCCAAACCCTCAAGTTGGCTTATAGTCCCATCAGATACCACCGGTGAAGAACACACATGACAGATATATATATATATGTATATAATTATATATTCTATATGGTTAAGTATGGCGGAGGCATCCAAGACCAGCTGCGCCCTTAAGTTGGTGGTGAGGATTCAGCCATAATACCATGGAGCTTGGAGATTTACCCCTCCCGCAATCGAGCATGCGCATGATCTGGGCGAACAGGTTGATGTTTCATGGGCGGAAGCCTGGTTGACCCAATAAAGCAGTGCATGGAGGCCATAAACTCCAGGGGTACAGTACCCATCAGTACCCCCCAAAAAATCATGGTTTAGAAATGTTTAGAACATATCCTCCAAGCTGTCCTTGGCTCGCCTTCAGCAAGATGCTGAACTCCCGCAGAGGGCGAGTGAGTTTGCCCCTCGACACCCGAAAACCTCGTGGCAGGACATGCTGAACGTCGGCCTTTGGCGGGATCTGGCGAAGAAGGAGCTGCAAGTGCCAGCGAAAGGAGGGGGGGTGGATAGCTGTGAAACCACTATTTTCCGGTGTCACGTTAGAATTTCCGGAGGTCACTTCAAAATGATGCAGAACAACAACTTAAGGAATGGGCTTCCAATGGAAAATGGGGAATGGTTCGGAAGGTTCGGGTGCCCAAGTTTGACCACCACACCACACTGCTGGAATGTTCACATTTTGTGCACGAAAATATTGCCGCAGGAGTGGTGCAAATTTGATTTGGAGTGGGCGCTGTTCAAGGAACGCTTTGAAGTTGCGGACAAGAGCCTCTCAGACTCCAAGCCTCAGGACTCAGTTTTCTGAATGGCACTGGATTGGAGTGGGACTACCTCCTAAACTGGCAGAGTGATGAGATGTTTTATTCCATTCAAATTCTCATCAATTATCTGAACTTTTAAAATCTCACACTTCTGTTTGGTACTTGCATACCTATGCATACCTAACATATCTTAAGATTGCAGTATCTTCCCTACCTTTTCGCCGGGTTCCCCAGCTCCACGCTTCGTGAGGTGGTACCCTGACGGGGTGCCTTTGGCTTACATCTCCATGCACAACACCAAGCAGTTTGCCAGAGAGCTCAGCGAGAGAACGGTTGTCTCGGGGCTCGGGGTTCATTTTCCAAGGCTTTTTAAGATGATATGGGTAATATAGGATGATATAGGGATAAATTGCCCACCAGGGATCAATATAGATATAAAACGGCACAACCATGCACAACCTACAATTGGATTGGATCTTTAAGACTCCAGTTTGTGCGTTCTGTTTTTTACTTTCAGTTAGGGATCCCTCAGACGGCCGTCCTGCTCACGCGGGATGAGTATTCACTTCTTCATCTACCAATTTTCTGTTCTTCTAACTGCTCCATCAACCCATATCACCCCCAAAAAATTGCAATTTTATACATTTCTATACCAATTTATCCTTTTCCACAGGTTTTCATAGGTTTCCACATCCTTCCCCCCCAGAGTTTCCTTGGTTTTTGTAGGGTGGTTCGTGGGTGCAGCTTTTCCCTCTTTCTAAGAAAGAACTGCGACACCGAACCATTTCCCATAGTTTGACCATTCTTGCTCCTTAAGGGAGTCCCTTGGTCACGCCACGCCATTATTCTTCACTTATACTGTAGGGCAAACCATTGGATGCCCAGGCAAAAAAAAAAGTTGACCCCCCACAGCCCTCCCGAGGAAGTGACCGACTGGCTTCTGAGCTGGTTGGCGCGGTGCTTCAACTTCCGCCCTGTCTGTCGGGAGAAAGGCAGCGATGAAGCGCTGCCGAGGGCTCCTGCGGAGCTGGGTATTCTGTTTTTTTTTAAAAAATTTTTGGCTTTACCCTCTGGTAAACTAACATAGCTATGGAAAATCAAAATCTTTAATGGGTAAATCAACTATAAATGGGCCATGTTCAACAGCTATGTTAAATTACCAGAGGGTAACTCCATAAACAGTTGGAGTTTAGCAGTTTCACCACAAAATTGGATTGATTATTGATGATATAAACATCAAGAGAATTATTTGGAACACCTTGGTGAAGGGTAGGTTTTGATGGATCAACTTTAGGCATTTCTGGGGAAATATACCAGCCGTGCCTAAAAATGGTGCACCGCCAGGCGGTGGCTGGGAACGAGCCAAGCAAAATTCACCAAGCTTCCCAAGTCCCAGTAGGAAATATGGGTCATATAACTTTATATGTATATATATATATAGGATATCTGTTGATTCCCATCATTTCCCGATGATATCACTATCATTGTTGGTTTATGTCATATATCTGGGTAAATTATAACGACCTCACTGTTCTCCCGAACCCTGGAATCATGGTGAATGTTAGGGAAATCATCCCCTTTTATGGCCGCAAGATTCAGGTTAGTGAATTATTATAATTTACCCAGAATATAGAAAAAGCTTGGTTCCACCAGGCAAAGGCCAATTGCCTTCTTGCTGCGGACCCAGATTATGAGTTGCGAGAGGCAGATGTTGTGCCGATTGAAAACCAATATGAAACCCTGACAGATGGGGGTTGGAAGATGGCTTTCCACACTTGCAAGTTGCAATTGCTCTGTAGTACGTGAAATTTCGAGGCTGCATTGTGGTCGCCGGCCACCAAACAGTTTGACTTTAATCCATTTACCGTTGATTCATGTTGATTAATGTTGATTCACGTTGATTCATTTTTTTTCGGAGTTCCATTCCAATGACCTTACACAGATTTACACAGTATGCCTAGAAAATCAACAATGGTACCCCTGAAAATGATGTGGTTGAACCATACATTTTCAACCAACATTTTCTAGGGAATCCCATATGATGGGTTGAAAACTCTTCATCATTTCTGGGTTTTCACCACACCACCGAGGTCAAGAGGATTCCTCCTCGGAACGACTGCTGAGACGAAGACCTGCGGAGTACATGACGAAGATGTCATGGCCTAATCGTGACACCGTATCTGGGTATCGGCTCGAACTCAAACTGACGTGAATATATTTCACCACACTGAACAAAAGGGATGATTGGTTGAAGTGGCTTTTGTTTTTTTGGCGAAAAGCACCAGCAATTTTGGATGTTGATCATTGAAATTTGGCGCTCCCAGTGGGGATGAATCCCCCAGTTTTTTCTTCATCGCTCCACCGAACGGTTCGTCAGACCAGACTAGATGCTGAAATCCCTGAGATCTTCGTGATTTGGGGATTTCGTTGCCCGAAAATATGGCCATCTCTGCCATCTCTCGATCCATTTTGTGGTGTCTTCTCAGTTCTCCAGGTGTTGCTGCCTCGAGCCACGCATGAAGAAATGGATCTTCTGGGGAAAAACCTGGCGCGGGGCCCAGGGCCAAGGGAAACAAGGCCCAAAACTAGAACTGAGTGATAGTCATAGATGTCCGAGATTTGTCCTTCACTACTAGCTTGAATTTTCACTGGGCAACCGTCCATTTGCAGCCGGATGATAAATCCATCGCTTCGAAAGGTGGAACAGATGAAGAAAAGAACTGATTTCAAATTGCATCAGGTGCATCAACATCTGCATTATTTCAGCCCATTTATGAGATGATCATAAGAAGTCATCCCGACAGCGACTGCATGCGACTGCGTTCCCAGGTTCAGCAATAGTGCAGATGTGCCAGGCAAAGACCAGATTTTCTTGGCCTTTTCTGGCAGCTGCTGGGGTGGTGAAGTCCAATCAACGGGGAGTAGCTGGCTTCCAAGTCCACTGGGATGGGATATGTGTCATCCTCTGGGCCTTGAAAGTTGAAACCGGCAACCTTAAGCAACCATGGGAGTTGAGTTGACCCAAGCCCACATTTTTTCCTTGCATATAAGATAAGATCATCATGGGCCAGAATGCATTGAAAAATGTTGAGAACTATATTACTATATTTAATATAATCATATATAATCCAAAAATCTTGGCCATAGACGAATTCCTATGACAAACGTTAGTCGAGGGTGGCGTCTTGCGCCAATCTGCTGGGTTTTGGCCAGGCAAAATGCCCGGCATGCAGAAGAATCGCACCTGCAGTCTGCCCTGAGACCGGACCAAAGGGCCCAAAGATGGCTTCTTTTGGGGATCACTGCGCGGTAATCAAACGTGGAGCCAGGAAATCCCCGAACTAAATGGATGGTGCTAATGGGAAAACCACCTGTAAATGAGGGATTTGATGAGATTTGTATGGATTTGTAAATGCGGGATTTTCCACCCCCAACAGAAGCGATTTGAAGCTTGAACGATGAGGGTTTTCAGCTGATGGCCGCGCACGCCATTCGATCATGGGCCAATGGGTCACCAAGGGGATCCATGATGATCCACGCAAGTTCTTCGAGTATTTCAGCAATGTGGACGCTCCCCCATGTTTTTTGAACATGGTGGGGACCTAAAGATATAAACTATATTAAACCTTTAAACATACATTTCAGCGGCAAAAAATCAAGATGACAATTCTAGGTCCGACTGAAAGACCTTCAGAAAATGAATGTTACGTATACAATCGTCCTCCCTGATTGTCACCTTTTTCATCAGTCAAACCGCATTGGTTTGCCTAAAAATGGGATACACATTGATCGGATATTCCACCCAGTGCTTACTCATCATTTTCCCTATAAAATCTATAAATCACCAAGCTTGTTGAATATATGACCCATAGCCTGGGAGTGGTTGGAATAGGGCATTAAATCACCAAGTTTTTCTGTGCCAGGGAGCAGCGTTTGTTGCACGCCTTGGGGCATCGCTGTGTGGAGCAGACGGAGTGGCTTGGAGGATAAGGCGGAGGGGGAAGGAAGCGTAGTCCGCGCAAGCCTTGGGGTATTAGTTGGGAAAATCAATAGTGGATATAGTGGCACAACCAGAAAACTACAACATCAATGAAGATGAGCCGTTTGACGCTGTTTGGGTTCGAAATTCCATTTCTTGGCACTACTAAACCCATCATGAGTTTCGGACACAAGATGCCAGGTTTTGGGCGATCCGCATATTTGTTGGATTTTGTTGGGCCGGCCATCTATTTTACATTCCCCCCTTTTTGCACACCCAGCAAGAGGTCTTAGACCCCATGTCTTGGTGGTTGTTTGTACCCAGCGAGGTGGTCTTTTCTCAGCTTGCCATGTTTGATGACACCGGAAGGTAGTTATCTGGTTGGTGGTTTCAAAACATTTTTTGTTTTCCATAATATATGGGATAATCCTTCCCAACTGGCTTTCATATTTTTCAAGATGGTTAAAAACCACCAGCCAGTTATAATTACCGTAATCCCTATAGCTGTACTATGTTATACGATTATGGTAAAACCACTCGTAAACCGTCCCATACACCAACCATTTTGGGGTCATTTTACATCAGGGCATGCGGCATACCCAATAATAAACCATAAATAAACCTCTATTGGGGATTGCCACATTAACCATGGCTAATAAGGTAAGGACTTAGTTAGTACTCCCTCTAACATATTCTGGCAATGTCACATTGCTATATGGTAGACTATGGCCTATTTTAATATAATAAATATAGTTCGATGATTTACCACATAATTAGGATCTATTTACCATATAGTTGCCATAAAACCATCACTGGTTGGTGGTTTGGAACATTTTTTATTTTCCATCATATATGGGATAATCCTTCCCATTGACTTTCATATTTTTCAAGATGGTTATTGCACCACCAACCAGAAAACAATCATAAACCATCTTACACCCATCATAAAACCATATAAAACTATCATAAACCCATATAAAACCATATAAAACCATCATAAACCCATATAAAACCATATAAAACCATCATAAACCATATAAAACCATCATAAAACCATCATAAACCATATAAAACCATCATAAAACCATCATAAACCATATAAAACCATCATAAAACCATCATAAACCCTATAAAACCATCATAAACCATCATAAACCCATCATAAACCCATCATAAACCCTATAAAACCATCATAAACCATCATAAACCATCATAAACCCATCATAAACCCATCATAAACCCTAGATAATCCTCGTTTTCACGAGACGGGACCTTCGGATACCGCACCCATCCGAGGTTCCGGCCACTGCACCTGGCAGCTGTGGCCTGGACCTACGGCACTCTGAAGTTCTCGGATGCGACTGTTCTGGCGCGGAAACCGATGCCGCGATCCGATCGGGGCAGTTGTGGAGCCAAATTAGGGATACCCTCCGGTGAACTAACATAACTATGGAAAATCACCATTTTTAATGGGTAAATGATGGTTATTAGTGGATTTAACCATGATGGTAATTTAACATGGCTATGGAACATGGCCATAGAAATAGTGGATTTTCCCATTAATAGCATGGTGGATCTTTCCATAGCGAACTGTTAGTTTACCAGAGGGTAACTATGGAAAAATCACCATTGATAGTGAGTTTTCCCATGAATAGCATGGTGATTTTCCATAGTTATGTAAACGTTTACCAGAGGGTATGCGATATTCATGGCATATGAACAGGATCAAGTGGAATGCTTATGGGATAAAGTGGACTATGAATGGGATACTATGGAAGAATGGGATATTCATGGCATATTTTCGAGTTACCATCCGCTAATCTAACATAACTGCCCATTTGTATATAGATGATCTACATGTTAAAACTTGGTATTTCCAATAGACAGAGGGAAAACAAAACGGTTCGGAAACTGATCTACAAATGGTGGGTTTTCCAAAATGTGATGTGATGTTGCTGGGGTGCAGTAATTATTTTGATTACAGACCTAGATTGATACTTAGATCTAGGATTTGATGTGCTGCCTAGATTGCTACGTAGATTGATTTACAGACCTAGATTTAGATTTCAAACCTGGATTTACAGACCTAGATTGCTACCTGAGCTGCTACCTAGATTGCTTTAATGTTTTAATAATTAAAAAGGATCTAGATTTAGATACAGCTGAATTGTGGATTTGCCGGACATTCTAAGATGGCCCACATATAATATATGAATGTGGGTAGTCTATGACTCTAAACAAGGGAATAGGATGTCTGGAAATGGCGCCATTTTGCTCAGGCAGACATCTCTGCCAAGAGTCTTCCTCTGATCCTCCGAGGCCGAAGGGTCGGCAGCAGATGGTTTAAAAATCGGATCTCGTTGTGTTTAATGTTCGATGTGACAGTCGCCGCTGTCTTGAAATAGATCCACCCACTTTGTCACTGAGAAGATTTATTTCTTTTGGTTCCTGCCGTTGCGTCAAGTTGGCATTCCTACCGCTAAGCCTTCAGTTTGCCCGAGCTTCAGTACATCCCAGCATGGCTGAGTAACGCCGGAACTAGTCGATTGGGTTCCGCCGACATTCTGACTCTCCAAGCCCACTGAGTAAAAAGTTGATTGTTTTTCAAGGTGACATTTACAGGACACTCTGTCTGTCACAGTTTCCCAAGCGAAACCCTTCGAAAAATCATCGAGCAGCTGCCCTCCCTTGGCCATCCTTGGCATGGCGCGGCGCCATGTATCAAGCAGCTGCATTTCTGAGCGGGGCATGGCTTCAGAACAAATGCAGCAGCTGCCAGTTCTTTGATCGCTTGATCGCTTGATGGTCCCAGGAGGGTTTGTCAGGAGGGTAAAAACCAACAAGAATGGGGATATGATATGATATAATGATATAATGGTGATAGAATGAAACAGAACCGCTAATGTGATGCTTGGCTTTGTTTGAAAATACGGTACAAACACTGGTTCTAGTGGAAGAACACATCATTTCTCCATTGAAAACAGGGACCAAACTTTTCTTGATAGGCATTTTCAGTATAGCCCTTGGCCATCTTGTTGATTTCCCCAACAACTTGAGCCAGGTGTTCTCTATCCTCAGCAGAACTGAGGTTGCCGCAGGTGCGCCGTGCAGTGGACAAGCGCCAAAGCATGCGCTTGTCCGTGCGATTGCTCGGGGCGTCGACGCCACACTTGGAATCAGGCGGGATGGTTGTTACTGGAGGTCACACCGCTGGTTTTCTATGGCTTTCCAGGGTTTAAATCAGGCAAAGCCCAGGTTTCACGTCCCAAAAATGAACAAAATCATTGCTATTGGATCTATTGGGATATGATGCCCCAGCCACATGCATGGCCAGTTTTGCTTGGTTTTTCTGCGGACTTCCGGCCTGTGTAAAAGTTGCCCTGTTGCCTGCCTGAACTGAGAAAAATCTAATATGCCTTCCCTGTGCTTCCAGCACCCTGTTGGCGGAACAGTTGCTGGACCATTTATAGCAACCTCAAAAAAAACTTCCTCGGAAATGAAGGTTCAAACTTGGGAGATTATCTTCAAGCCGACCTAGACTTGACTTGATATGTCTTCATAGTTTGGCAACCCATCCATATGAACTTATTTTCACATTATTTCTCCTCAAAGATGGTTTGTCACGTAAACATCTTTCTGAATGAAAGATGGCAATAGGTGGGCTCCTCTGGCGTCAGCTTCCGTTGGTCGAAGTGACGCTGGGAAACGTGACCAAGGAGCGCCAAGGAAAGTTCGTTGACGTCAAGAATACACTGTACTGATATTAGTGGAGTCTATATTAGATGCAATTCTATTACATAAGTGATTACTTTGATTATCATACATACATACCTATATATATACATTTTGATGATATGCATTGCCTAAATAAGACAAATAGGAACACTTATAGTAAATAAGGACATGAATGCATGAAATTTGAAATATCGGAGTGAATGATGCTATATATATATATATATATCGACCCAAGCGGCCAGCGTGAATGGGCAGACTAGATAGTGCTCTCAATATTGAGAAGCTTTTGAATTGATATGCAGACAAATTGATTGATATAGCAACTGATTGGTGGTTTAGAACATTTTTTATTTCCATATATTGGGAATAATCATCCCAACTGACTTTCATATTGTTCAGAGGGGTAGGTATACCACCAACCAGGCAAATGTAAGAGGGAGAGTCCAGTGCATTTACAACGGGTGACCTACTCGGGTTTTGAGTCCCAAACTGGGCTTTGATTTCGCTGATAGGGGTTGGTCCCCACCAAGCGACTTGTCGAGTGACCACTATTCGAAGCCCCATCTGTTTTGCCACTTGTTGGATATGTGGGTTCCATGACCAATGCTGCGGCAAGTCTGCAAAATGCAGGGCGGAGAAAGTGATCAAAAAGATTCGACAACGATCGAAACGTATGATATTTCTACAGATTGGATTTGGTCGGATTGTCACACTTTGATCATGATATTACCCTCTGGTAATTTAACATAGCTATTGAAAATGGCCATTTATAGTGGATTTTCCCATTAAGAATGATGATTTTCCATAGTTATGTTAGTTTACCAGAGGGTATTATATCACGATCTACGGAGCGGCACCTTTCCTGGGATGTCGCTCCGTGATTTGCTTGGTGGCTTCATGTTGAAATTTCTAACCCTGTTTGGAAGCTTAGCCTACAAAATAGCAGATTACATATACCCGTTCTTTGTTGAAACACACCTGTTCTTGTTGGTTATCTGGCCCTTGCAATTCTTTGGCTGGTTACGCATGCCCCCAGAGTTACCACAACGAACCCCTAGCCCTAGTTTAGATGCTTCACCCTCCACTTTCAGGCGCCAGACAACTTCCATACATCCTAGAATTCTTTCTCCTCAGAAAATTGATAGAGTTTAGCCTCAAATCGCAGTATTTGATGGTTCAAATTCAGGGTTTGCATGGGCGAAACCATGGGTTTCCTCCAAATTTTCCCATCAAACCTGGCAGAAAACCTGGTGTCCGGAGGAGAGCGAGGTGGCCCACCATGCCCCTCAGGTGTTGCAGGCGTGCCGAAAAACTTGCAGAAATTTATGGTGGGTAAATAGGGTTGGCATCAGAAATATGTAAAACTTGTCATGGATAGGGACATGTATGATAGTATGTTTAGTTTTTTTTTTTAAATGTTTTTTTTTTTGGGGGTGAAGGTTGTCACTACCTGCATGTTTTTTTTATTAATAAATTTACTGTAACTGGGAACATTCTGATTGCCCGACCTTGCTTGAATCTGTAAGGTTAACTAGCACAGCTGGGGGTATGAAGTAGGGGTTTGAACCGAATGGAATTAGGGTTATTGGGCACCAAGATGTGGGCATGTCAAGAACTGAATGGAGGCGATCAGCGACAAAATTTGAGGACATGAAAAAGTGATAGATAGGAACTACTCCAACACAGTCGCAATCGGAACGTCACATTCCGAACAAATAAAACTGGGAAATAAAAGACACCAGTACTACCCTCTGGTAATTTAACATAGCTATTGAAAATCACTATTTTCAATGGGTAAATCCACTATAAATGGCCATTTTCAATAGCTATTTTGACATAACCAGAGGGTACCCTTCGGTGTCATCAAACGTGGCTTGCTGGAAAGTCCCCCCATGCAGTTCGATGATTTGCCCATCGAACGAAACCTCCATGGCTTCGGGGATTTTTTTCAGCCACGTTTCACTACCAGAGGGTGCCATTGATGATCCTATGAATATCCCATTAGTATCCCAAATATTTTACTGTTAAACATGTTAAACCGCACCATATAAAACCACATCAAATAGCCTCTGGTAAACTAACATAGGTATTTTGAACATGGCCATAGAAATAGTGAGTTTTCCCATTAATAGCATGGTGATTTTCCATAGTTATGTTAGTTCACCAGAGGGTATTATCCATTATATCCCATATAAATCCCCTATAAATCACCATATAAATCACCATATAAATCCCCTATAAATCACCATTTGATCATATTTGATCATTATTATTGGAAGGCAATCCTCCACGAATCAACCAGCCACATCCATCCTCAATCATCCCAGGCTGCATCCTGTGCACCTAAGGCATTGCAGGACCCTGGAGACGCGTGTTGGGGCTGGTTTTTTCTAACAGTTTGCCGTGGCAAAATCACCATGTTTACCCTCTGGTTATGACTAACATAGCCATGGGAAATGGCCCAGTTATAGATGGCTTACCTAGTAAAAATGGTGATTTTCCATGGCTATGTTAAATTACCAGAAGGTAATAGGTAAATCAATTATGAATCAACGAACATACGAACTAAATGGACATGTTCAATGGCAAGCTGTTAGTCATTACCAGTTTTTGTATCCCAAAAAATGCTATACCTGGCGATCAAGGAGAATGGCTGGAGCCATGCCCTTCGATCGCTTCTCAGTGCTTAGATAAACTTATCACAAAACGTCAAAATAAACAGTTGAACCTTTGACAGGGGAGCCGGGGGCAGACAATACAACCACTCAGAGGTTTGCGTATTTGTGGCTAATTATGATGCACCACCCCGTGGGTTTTTGGGAATGTGACACTTGGTATGCGGTGCAAAGATGCTGGCAATTCACATGCCATGGTCAGAAGTTGGATTAGAAACCATTGAGGGATTTGGGAGGGATTAAACTATTCATTGTGTGTGTTTTTTTGTCTCTCGACACAGGCTATCCCTCTTGAGTTTAATAAGGAACAATAAAGGATCCTTAAAATTGAGTCCTGTGATAAATTTTGCGGAATACTGGATATTCAATCCCAACGGCTGAATTCCATATGAAATTTGGGGTGCAGACTCTGTAAATCAATCCATATCAATCCTTTTCGGGGGGATCTTTTCCATTTTTTGTGGTGTTAAACAGGACTGTCACTGGCATTTTGGTGACACCATGGTTTTCGCGGCACGGCGCCCCAGATGGGATGTAAGTGGCTGGTGGCTTTAAGTTTGATTTGTATATTACGATAAATAATCGATAAATATATCATTGAATAGATAGAGAGAAATATAAATGTACATAAATGTACATATAAGATCATATAAGTATGAATGTACATAAATATAATTACTTTACTTCGAGTTATCCCCACCATGACATTCATACGTTTTGTTACTGGCAAATCTTCTGGCATTCTATCTGACATATCTTCTGGCATTCTATCTGGCATTCTATCTGTCATATCTTCTGCCATTCTATCTGGCATATCTTCTGGCATATGTTCTGGCATATCTTCTGGCATTCCATCTGGCATTCTATCTGGCATATCTTCTGGCATATTCTCTGGCAAATCCTCTGGCAAATCTTCTGGCATTCTATCTGGCAAACATTCTGGCACTTTATCTGGCATATCTTCTGGCATTCTATCTGACATTTTATCTGGCATACCTTCTGGCATTCTATCTGGCATATCTTCTACCATTCTATTTGACATATCTTCTCGCACTCTATCTGGCATTTTCAGCCATATTTGGGATGATAATCCCAATCGACCATACGGATATATTTATAATATACAATACATACGCACACACACACATATATGTATATATATATACATGTAAATAAATAAATGCATATGTACAGATAAATACA